ATCCGAATTCAAGTGAACAAAAATAAAGCACTCTGTGGAGACGAGGCTCAAGAAAAACAATTGCACTCAATTGCAAGGGCGGATCCAGGGGGTGGGGGCCAAAAGGGGCCATGGCCCCCCCCCCAAAACTTGAGAAATTCTATAAAATCATGAGTGTAATGGTAATTCCGGGATATCACCATCCGAACTCAGATCATATCATCATCATCATTGATAGGGCGAAATTCTAAGATGCAACTTCGCACTCTGATCTTTAAGAATCAGGCCATAGAACCCACTCACAAGGCCAGGGCGGATCCAGAACACACAATTTTTTGGGGGGCCAAAAATTTTTTTTGGTCCCTCCAAAAAGTGGGTCAAAAAAATCTTTTGGATTCTAGATGCTCTGTGGTGCGATCTGAGGCAATTTCTGACCACTTTAACCAATGTTTTTTTGAGGAAAAGATGGGTGGAGTACTCATTGCCTGCTTTTATTGCGATGTCACATAAAAAAAAAAATTGTTTGGTTGGTTTTTTTTTTTTGGGGGGGGGGGGGGCATGGCCCCCTTTGGCCCCCCCCCCTGGCGCCCTTGCCCACTCACAGCATCTTGCTCAATAATTAGAACCTCATATTGCTTAGTTGGGCTTCATATTTTGTTTGGCGTGTGGTTTTCAGAACACATCGTGAGCTTTCTTTTACGGGAATTAATGACCACCACTTAGTGAAAAATTTGACAGGGTATCTAGTAGTGGTGATTTATTATGGACTGGCACTCTGAGCGATAGCCTGCGTCAGCTGGAATTCAGGGTTGTTTGTGTCTGGAGGAACCACAACTGAGGGAATGTCACTAGGGCTATTTGTGGTTTACCATACTGTATACACTGTATGCACATGTATCATGAAATTAAACATTAAGAGACAATTTTTTAAAGGTCATTAAGAGGTCATCAGGGGTCATTTCAGGTTAAATTGCTAAACAGTGTATTATTCACATAAAACTCAGAACATGTAGTAAGCATTGTGTGGCAAGAGCCTACAGTTAGTTTTCACCTTATAATAGTGAAAGAGCTCATTATGTGTTACATTAAGTAGCCTCCTTCCCACCACCAGAGTGACCCTGTGCACTTCCTGTGTGCATACAGAGACCCTGTGTGGGTACAAGTACTACATAATCTTGCCACATAACAAAAGGCAGCCATATTTACTGACCATGTGATTTTAGAGTCAAGTGTTTTCATACTCAAAGCAATTTAGTTCTTCAAGTTTCATCAGTTTATTCACCCTTTGTGGACCTTGAAAGACCCCATTTTGGTAAGAAGCATTTCCTTGATTTTATGAGTTACTTTTAATAAATTTAGAGACAGAATTCAGTGGATTTTCTGAGATTTTACAGTTGATTATTTATTCAGCAAAAAACAGATTGAACTGCAAATAGTGTTAGATTTGACAAATTAGACTGCACATTTTTGGACTCAACTTGCCATGTTTAAAAGATTAGACTTTTCCATGTACATGTATTATAGTTTTCTTATTAGTGTTTTTTCTGCTTCATTAAATTGCAGATTGTTATCTCAATCTACTAATAGTACTATCAGCAATCACCACCATGTTTGTCAAGTGGCTTCATTGTGTTTTGTGTGTGGTTCCTGGATCGATTGTGAATACCAGTCACTTGGGAGTCCATTTCTCATAAGTTTGAGTACTAGTCCGAAACTCCTCTGGGCACAAGTGAGCCCCGAGGCAGCCACAAATTACATTGCACTGATTGAAATTGCGTCCGATAACTGACTGTGATAAACAACACAATAGATTTCAAATTCAACAGAAACCATTGAAGAAGAAAAAATTAATTCAACAAAAAACAAAAACTAGTGTGTAAGGGAACTCCCATATTTTATCAACATCAATTTCTTCCAAACGAGGGCGCGCTACCCAAATACAGTCGACTCTCGTTAGTACAAACTCTGTTAATACAAAATTCTGGTTATAACAAACATGAATCCTTGGTCCCGACAATGAATGAGATTGTTCCTCTTAATACACAATTCTTATATAACAAACAATTTGGCTTAGGTCCGAACGAGTTTGTTATAACGAGACTCGACAGGGTCACCGAGACTTCTGTCAACGTGGATCACGAGCTGCCCAAACGAAGTCGGCATTAAGTGAACAAACATAAAACACACTTTGTGGAGACGATAACTCCAGAACAACACAGTGCACTGAATTGAAATTCGTTTCAATATAATTGTTCAGTATAGGATACAAATCGTTTGAAAATCAACGGGACCCTTGAAGAACCAATTTATTACGATTTAAAGACTACACCGGAATCAATCCGTTCGTGAACAAAATAAAGCACTCTGTGGAGACGAGGCTCAAGAAAAACAATTGCACTCAATTGCAAGGGCGGATCCAGGGGGTGGGGGGCCAAAAGGGGCCATGGCCCCCCCCCCCAAACGAACCAATTTTGTTTTTATGTGACATCGAAATAAAGGCAGGCAATGAGTACACCACCATCTTCTCCTCAAAAAAACATTGGTTAAAGTGGTCAGAAATTGCCTCAGATCGCACCACAGAGCATCTAGAGTCCAAAATTTTTTGGGGGGACCAAAATTTTGTTTGGCCCCCCAAAAATTGTGTTCTGGATCCGCCCTTGTTTCTATATTAGATGGTTCTAAGAGCTATGGAATTGGGAAATTGAAAAGATGTGGCAATACACCTCTGGTCCAGGCTTGGGGCTTCCAATTCTGAGCATTTTGGATGTAATTGAGTCCGAAAGTGGCGCCTATTTAGCCATGTTGTGGATTGATCCTTTTTCAAGATGTGACTTCTTTCGTGGATCTGGTTTACATTCATATGTTTGATACCATCTGGTCGCCCAGTACATGTATACGGTCAGATCGGTCCAAATTTTCAGCGCACACCTCATGATGGCCAGATGAACGGGTAAAATCGGAAAAGTGTGCGCCAGGCTTTAGACAGCTCTCGGTTGCAGTGATATCCAATGGGGAAAAACTATTTGGAAGTTTGACATTACAACTGTAGCAGCTATCAGGATATTCTTACAAAGCACAATGTAAATTGTAAGTAATATTTTTTGTCAATTACGATCACATCACAAAAAAAAGACTACGATTATCAAAGCTGTCTATGACGTCAGCTCTCTTAATGTTTGTACATGTACATGTATTTAGTATGTGTGTTTTCATCCGGCCGATATGTTTATTTTGAATACGTCTATCCTTTCATAATTTTTGACAAGACTTAATGGCACACAATAAAGAACGAACGCAACGCATAACGTGGTGGTTTCGAATACGTGTATTATATGTACAAAGTGAACGGTAAAACTTGAACTCTATTATACAGATACTGAAACATGACAAGAAAGGGGCATCCCTGATTTAAATACTGGCTTTATGTTGCTTATTATAAAAAAGGTCTTTCACGTGCTGAATGAGTCTGTTATAAATACGTCAACTGTTTCATTTTAACTGTAACTTTCAATGGTCCAACGGTTGCCTCGGATAAAGGTATATAGGTTTTTTTTCTGACGCAGCACTGAGGTGAAATAAACTGGTCTCCTAATTAATACATAGACTTTCTTCTCATTGTGTATGTAATATCGCGAAAAAGATTATTAAAATTAACGTCTTATATACTTTGCTGAATGAAAACAAAATATCTATACCTAGAAAAGTAGAAGAGAAAAGAAACGTCTTCAAACGTCTTGAAAATGCAGTGAAAACAAGTTTTTTTTAAAAGCAGTGGTAAGGTTAAAGAGGTTGTGGAATGCTCGAAGACATTTCCGTCATTTTTCGGGTATATGTAGCCTAAGGTGTGATGAAATAAAAACGACTATTGTGTCTGTCATGAAATTAGTACAATAGGTACTTTTTGAGAGCTGTTTTTCAGGTCCTTTTCGACCCGAACGTGCAAATTGTGTAAAAGTCGTCGTTGGGGGCAGCAAACAAAACATAGTAAATCGCGACGTAATAAACAGGACTCCCTATGCAGCGTAGTATAGAGTCCTGTTTATTACGTCACGATTTTTCTGATTTTACGAAGAACCAGACGAATGTTGATTTCAATTTATGCGCTCGCTGACCAATTACTCGATGAATTTCAGTTTTATAAACATATTAACGCACATTACAAAAGAATGGGAGTTTGTCATTATGATATGGGTCTACTCTACAATAAAAAAATATATAAAAAACAAAACGACTTTCAGCATTCCACAACCTCTTTAAAGTATAGTCTTTGCTTTTCAAATCCAAAATGGATAATTATACATATCAAAACATCCACTCAGCATGTACATATGTACACTAATTAACACACTTTGATTCACTTGAGCTACAATCATAAACATTCAACTAATGTTCAAATCCAACATTTATATACATGCATAAGAGATATTACAGAAATAATGTTTCTACTTCATTCCGTGCCAACGATAATTTTTGAACGAAACATCAAAACCAAAATAATTGAGAAATGAAAGTCTTCAGAAATAAGGTCACCGTACGGAGGAAGTTCAAATCACTATTGTACAAACTAAGCCGAGGACCTCAGTTTTTTAGTTAGGATGACAGAAAAGAAAAGGGGCCCGAATATCATACACTTGTAAGCACTAAAATGCCTCAGTTTGGTGGCCAGTTTGAAATTCTCCTATTCGGCTTTTAATTCCACAATTTGCATATACTTTCTTATATACACGGTGAGTAAAAAAAAAGAAACCCAAATGTCGGGACTATTGTTTTATTGAAGTTCTGCATGTAGCACTTTTAAATCTAGGATATGAAAGCCCAATTCATAGGCTTTCTTTTAGTACAAGAATCATTCAAATCATTCATTTACTCTTTATGTTACGGAATTTTAAACACAGCCACCGTTTTCAAGTTCTGTCCATGGATCACAAAAAAGGTGTGCGTTCTTTCAGCAAAACGAAAACAATTCACACATCCTTATGTGATTTGTTTTCGTGTTGCTGAGAGAACACTGAACTTTTTCATAAAAAGCAACCATCGTTCTTTTGTCTTAAATATTACAATACCCTTATCACTAGCCCTCGTAGCCATTGTGTTTCTCTTCATCGTTTCCTTTGAGGTTAGGCACTTGTTGCAATTGCACGTCGGATGACGTCACTTTGCCTCCCGCCTGCCATTCATCTTGCCTGATTTGTTGATAAGTCTGTAAAAAAAATCTCAGTTTTTACAATCAATCAAGTTAAGACAATTTTTTTCTTAATGCCTTTTATTCAATTTGTCCCGCTGCCAATTACTTTCAAGAGTTTGTTTTCTGCCACGCGGTAGTCTGAGCATTATTGATTGATAGATTGACTGACTGATTGAAACAAAATGATCTATCGCTAAATTGACTTAGTGGAAACGACTGGTCACTTACTGACCGAATAACTTGCACTTTCGTACGCCATGCATGATGTAAGTTAGTGGTGATTGATCAACTCAATTTTTGACAGCTTACCGACAGTATAACTTAGATATACATATCGGTCATGCAAAAATGCACAATGACGAGGTCTCGTGATGGTTTGGTAACTCCGCCAAGCGATCGTTGCGTGCAGAGTATTAAACCAAAAAAGAGGCATAAGCCTTGATCAGAATGATAACGTATGAACAACACTGAATATTTCCATATTTTATTTGTTTTTAAAGTGACCTCTTAAATGTAGCATTACCGGTAGCAAATGAGCTTCATCAAGTCATAGAATAGCTCGATTCAAACAGATGTCAGGACGGAGAGCCCTAGCCACAGTCCCACGTTGCCTCCCATGTCACTCAGTAGGGCAATCTCCTGTGGAAAGTCGACATATACCAAATAATGAAACAATGATCACATTACGACGACCACTTCACGTAGTCGTACAGTACACCAAACAGAAAGCTGTGCATTAAAAATTATTAAAAACAAAAGTTTTCAGGGAAACAGACCTTAAAAGTAAGGCACAACATAGGCTTTTACTGATAGACAGTGGAAAAATCAATATTAATTGCCACATATCAATATTTGTCAAATTTGTAACCAGCCTGCTCCTTAACATTTTATTATATAAAGCGTTTTGGACCGTTAAACTCACAATAAGCCTCTGTACTGATGGCGTCACACTTCAATTACACGTGTTTTCCTATGGGGGAGTGCAGGGGGGGGGGGGGCGGAAGGGGTCTGGGTTCCAGACCCAAAAATCGCGGACTATTCTCTTTGGATACATTCCATTTTAAAAGAGGTGAGCGTTGTTTAAAAAAAAGGAAACCATTTTTAATGTTGAAATGCTCTCTCTATCAGCATTGAAAACATGACAGCATAGGTTCAACGAGTAATTCCAATTGATACGATTGCTTAATTTATATAAAAATGCGTAAAAACATTAGCGAACATTTGTGATTGATTAATGCCAGGATCAACGTGCTTAACTTCTTTGAATGTGTCTAGGTGGGAAATTCATTACAAAATGTCTCCCCTGAAACGGGTACAAATATCGACATAATTTGAAAAATTGTATCGTTCATCCTCTGATTTTTTTCTCTGATCGTAATTTTTAAGGATTGATCTTTTGTTCCTGGAAGTTTCACAAAAATCGCTCCGTACATCCTCTAGATATTTGACAGTTTTTCCAGGGTTTGTTTGAGAAAATGGTTTCTGCCATTTACTCAGCGCTGCACCGGCACGCGCACCAGATGTTGATGTATACGTAGATGTTGATGTATACATGTGCACGGAGCTACGTGCGTTAACGACGGAGCTTCGAACTGCCCACGTCGCGAGGGGGAAATGAGATCAATTTCAACGTAGAGGGCGTTACCCCTTCCGCCCCCCCCCCCCCCTGGGGGAGTGGGAACAATCTTTCCTAGCCTTATAGAAAAGCGTACAAGTAAACACAGTGTGACGTCCTCAGTACAGAGGCTTCTTACACGTATAATAAGGGGAAAACACCGACTAATTTAACTCACATCATAGGCCTTTTCTTGATAGATAGTCGTGTACTCCAGCCTGTCATAATATACGTTCAACTTAAGAACGTTCTTTCTGTCACGAAAAATTTTGGAAAAAACGATAATGAGATACTTGTAAAGATTCGGTCAAAACGTATTAACAATACCGTCCACGTACTATTCACGCAAAGTATATAAAAGTATCAAATCGGGCACCGTGAATAACTTCCCCAAATTAATTGATGGAAAATTTAGACAAGAAAAATACAACAGTTCAAACAAAGGTTTCATAGGCGCTTTGTTAATTAAACATGACGATATCGTCTTAATTTAGTTTAGAATTGCACCATAGGGCATACGCATACTTGTTTCAAACAAAGACTTGTATGTCCATACTTACTCCAAGAAATTGGGATCGCCATCTCTGTCCCTGTCTTGCTCCAAATCAGCCGAAAAGTTCCCGATAGAGTCCTGGAGGAAAGGCTGAGTAAAATCCAAGAAATAAGTAAAAATAAGTATAAACGGACTAAACTTCCATGTCTTTTTAAACATAGCGATTTCGACTGTATCAAATTCAAGGCATGTAAACATCTACCTAGTGAAATGAAATACCTCCATGGCAACAATCTTTTTTCTCTGGTTGTCCAGACCTCAAACAAAACTTGATCGAGACACCTGCCCCTGGGCCCTGACCAGCTTGGAACATTATAAAAGAACGGGTGCGGGGTGGGGGGGGGGGAGGGGGAGTTAGGTTACGAAAAGGATACTAAAAATGTGGACCTTTTTTTTGGGGGGGGGGACGGGCCTACTTTTAAAAGTTCCTTTTTATGTATGCCGAAAGTCACGTGCGACAGAAAAACGGTAAAAACCACACCTTATATTTCTCGTTTGGCCAACGTGCCTGCCCAGTTACGAAGTTGTACTGTAGCTCCCTGTAATGGTAAGGATGATAAATGTGAAATATACAATCTTTTCAAACAATAACACCAACTCTAGCTCTTCCGCAGAGTCGGATATTGCAGTCTACATGCCATGCCCAAAATGGTAGGATCAATGGAAACACAGAAAACATGTTTCAAGATAGTGACTGAAGCACTGAGTACAGCTAAATAATATCAAGACAAGGCAAGCCTATTGTGAAGCACACAAAATGACATTCAATTATTATAGACCTTTACAGTATGCTGCCACCATTTCAGTCATGTTTCCTGTACCCAATAACAGTACTGAATGATAATGTTTTTGCGCAAAAAAGAATCAGCCTATATGTCCTTCCAGCCTCGCTTTGGTTACATAGCTTTGAATGGGAAAATGTCAAATTGATGCACCATGATAATGGTACATGTACATGTACATTGATTCGGAATGGCTCAAGTTCACATCATGCATCTGGTGTACAGGCCCATTATGTACTACATAATGGGCTGGATTTAGCTGATTGTGAGGAAAGCCTATTCGATAGTACTGCCCGGCTCTCTTCAACCAGGCTAAGTCACAAGTGACAGTAGTGAGTCAGTTAGTCAGGTATGAAGAGGAGTATGAGGCTGGCCTCTATGGGACCAACAACATAAACACACATGCAAATGGACAAAAGAGCATTTAACATTTTGACGAAAGATTCATAATAATGATAATCAAATTTCGTACCTAACATGTGTAGCCTATACCAACTTCGGTTACCAAACACGCGTGCATGCCTTACCTGCATGGAGGCGTGCATGTACAGTCCAGGTTGCCCGCTAGATACTTCATCTCAACACTATTCTTGCAATCCTCTGCGTGCAGATATAAGGGAATTAATCAACCAGTGGGTCCAATTCCTGATCGGTTACAGTCAAGATGTGGGCCTGATTGTTTCTTTACGAGATTCATTTCCATGGATATAAAATCCCTGTCTAAAATGCATGATAAATAAGATGTCCAATCCAGAGGACTTAATTTTGAAAAAAAAACCGTCATGTTCTGGTGGGTTTCTGAATTAAAAATGTTGTTACAAGTCATGTCAGTGAAATTGGAAATATTAGAAAAACATAAGAGAATGTCGACAATGTTAGACAAAAAGCAGAGATACTAATTAAGAAAAAAATCTTGGAAACCTTGGTAGGCTTTCAAGAATTACCAAACATATTACGGGAGCAAGGCGAATTTGAGACCCTCTATAACCCGCGTATTGAGCCCCGCCTGAGGGCAGCATTGGTCGACATTGAGAAGGCAGTATTCAATCGGGCTATCGCTTACCTTGAGTTGTATTCGAGCATAGAGGTACGTCGTCATCATACCGAAACCTGACGTCCGCACAGCCACACTCTTTGGTCAGGTTTTGATAATAGCAGTCGTTTTCACACGCCTGGTGAAGGAAAAGGTAACCTGATCTTATAGTCTCGGGTGGTCACACAGTATTCAGAAAGTCCCATTTTATGGTTCTCGGTTCGCTCCTTAATGATGGGAAATATTGTGGGAGGAAAATGCAGAAGCAGATTTCGATTGAGGGAAGGGAGAAGCAACCAACCGGATCCCCGGGCATTTCAGCTATGGTGCCCCGCAAACACCCCTCCCATAACAGCTGTCGCAAGATGCCAATTCCTTCACTGTCGAACAAATGATGAAGCACTTTTTGCTGTTTTTTTAATGCTTTAGTTCACCCATACAGGTAATGGTACCCCACGGAGAAGATTCGCCACTTTGTAACTTTCTGCTCGTGTGACGACATTTTGTATAGCAAATTGTGCGTATGGTTTCCTCTTATATTAAAGCGAAGATTATTGTAGCCATTTTCTAATATTGAAACACTTGCGTGGAACATGAAAACTAAAATTAAACATGTAATCATATATTTTGGCCTGGGAACTGTCAGACTCACCCGCTGACTGTATCTAACATGAGGCAGTGGAACGTTGAATATTGTAGCATTGCCATCGGCCACCAGTGTGCAGTTAGTGTAGGGATAGTTCAGTCTTGTGAAGTTGGTCTAAATGGGGGGAAATAGGGAAGGATATCAGCTGGATAAAATAAGGCAATTCTGTAGTACTCGTACTCGAGTAAATGTTTTGGTACTGGTACTCGTACTCATGAAAAGTACTCATACTCGTACTGGTACTCTTGCAAATCTTCTTCCGCAAGACTAAGAAATAAATACATTAAGACCTACATGCAGGAAAAGAACCATGCAGTTTCTACTGTTTGGGAGGCTGCAAACAGTTTCTACTGTTTGGGAGGCCAAAGACTACGTGTTTTCCTACGACGTAACATTGACGAATAAGACGTCGTGCCTCATGATCATCAATATTGAAAGCATGCAACTCCCTTCTTATATCTGAATATCATTGCACTTCGCCTTTCGAGCAATCAAATGAAATAGAGGGCCCGGGATTCAGCCTGTCTTGCTCTTGTTCGAAAGTTGTAGCTCCCTCGTCAGATACGTAATGATTCCAAAAATGTCAACCAGTTAAATTTGCAAAGGTGAGGCGGCGAAACTTAGGTCGCATCCGAATTTGGCAACTTGGCTAAAGGGATATACCACATGAGTTTGAGGGAGGTGGATTGAGCCACACTTCACTGGGCGCGTGTGGAATATTGCAGGCCGTCGCCAGGCACAGAGTCATTTCAAACATTTCAAACTATTTCTTTAAACAGTTAACATTAATTTATGTCTATATTTTAATAACTGCATTTGTTTTAAATATTATTTTAATTAATTGTTATTAAGTCCTTTTTTTAATACAGGGGCCTCAAGGAAAGCATTTTTTTTTAACTGAGGAGGCCACCCTGTTTAAATAAGACTGCAAATAAATAACAAACAGCCGAAACAGCTTTTGTAGTTTATACTAGTCTTCGCCGTTTGGTTACACATAATCAGACGGCCCCAACCCTCAGGAATCCTTGGTCTGTTTCTGCAACATCAAATCATTATGAGTTCAACTTGAGCTTATTTGTATTTCCATTTGGTTTTAATATTAAAATCTTCAAAATGAGTCACTGTCGAAACTGAACCGGGGACCGAATCTAAAACCCTATCCTGAAGAATGTCAATAAATCCTTTGTTACATTTAGCTATTTTGTCCGTTTGTAGTTGTTGTCTTTGCCATAAAATCAGGGAAAGAATAATAATCGTCTGTTCACCCACCTCTTGAAACCAATGAACGTCTCTTGGCCAGGCGAGACGCTCACGCCCTCATCGTCAGGAAATGGCATGTCGTGACGCGCATGCACAACGACCCTTGCCCCCGCCGCTGGTTGGACGTTCTCCATGTACTGGTCCTGCTCAATATACAACTCCAACGTCAAACCTGAAACAAACAGATTAAGGTATTGAGCTTATCATTATCGAAGATTTCTCACCAACTTTAGCAGAAAATTTCGCTAGTTAGCATATTTCCCCACGGTTTAGTAAAGGGTGCAAACGTGTAAATAGGCACAAAATTGCCTACGCCGGCCAAATCACGATTTGCATGCCCTCAAATTCTCAGGTACTCAGAGCATTGTGAGGGCCGTGAACAGAGGACTGCGAGCTCACACAGTATTTTCTGTGAAATTTGGATTACAGGCCCTAAAATGGCTCTATTTTCCAATGGAGCGTAGGTGTCCATTTTCAAAATGGCGATGGGCTTCAGGACTGTTTCAAGGAGTGATCATCTTTGGATGAATTTTCTCCTAAAAAGCCATTAGTTACCCCAACAAAATTGAACGGAAAATGAAAGATGATGAAATAAGCCTTTATTTGATGTGTGTCTCAAACACCTTGGAAAGTTGTGTGTATTTTTAATAAAAAGAGCAAATCCGGTTTTGAGTAGAGCCATGATATAGGGTTCAAGTACAGTAAGCGTAAACAGGGAGAAGTATGATCTAAGCGTTTTGAAGCAATGTCGGTTTTTGTTACTGTAATTTTCCAAGCATAATTTCAAAAAGTTATCAACGTAGGCCTATGTTAATGTCTGAGTTTCGCATTAATCTTACACGTGATTCTGTATTAGACGCCATCCAACAAATCAATTAAAGTCAAATTTACTTTTGAATAAATATCCTTTCGGTTCCTTATCTGTAATACGAGTGAAATTGATTTCAAAATCATCTGAGAGCCAAAACACATGCCACTGCATGTGACTTGTGAACATACCATAAAGTGGTCCCGCTCTGGTCACAAAGTATCTCGGGGTTGTAGTGTTGGGGTCGGGTCCAGCATTGAAGATGTAGCAGTTGCCGTAGAGATAGTGGTAGAAAAAGGTGAAATCCCTGTAATGCATACGAAATAGGTTATGAATCAATGCCCGTAAGCGGTAATCTCTGTGATCACAACTATATCAATACAATGTGTATCCAAAAAATGCAAACAAAATATGACGGAATGCCAGACGTACAATGTGTATAATCAACATCGATAATATAGGTATGGTTTGAAAGATACGCCTTTCCACTTTAAAATGAGGCCCGGGGATCAGATAGTCGTGGTATCGTCCTCGCCTTCCACCGCTGTGACCCGAGTTCGATTCCCGGTCATTCCTCCCACCGCTATACACCCTGTAATTTAACTTTCTCATGCACAAAGTAGGATTGCAGCGGTGGCAGCTTTTTGTGTGCTATCACTTAAAACAAAATGGCGGCCAAAACATGTTTGTTAAATGTTTTTAAAAAAGAAATACTACTAGCACCAAAAACAATTTCCACCGCTCGCGCTGCTAAACAATCACACATTTTCAAACTCTTGATGTGTATACCTTGCCAAATATCGCCATGAGCATTGCTCCTTTCGACCATTTGATACCGGTGGCCCAATTTCTGGACCAAAGCTGATGGCCTAAAGGTACACCACTGGAAATAAGTCGAAAGAGCAACACGTGGGCTATCCAGGCTACATACAAATACATTTATTTTCGAAGACAAAAGGAAATACCAACCTAGCATGACAAGGCTTCCCCTGGAAGGCACATCTCAACAGCATATCCCTCAGCAGATGGCCACTGGCCCGTCTGTCGTTGTACCTGAACGCAGCCACGAGTTCCACAGCATCTCCAAGCATCTCAAAACGATCGTCAAATTCTTCCTCTTCGCTGTCGTCACCATAACCCTGATGAGGGAAGACAACTAAGAGTGTAAAATTCACACATAACTCTCTTGAAAATCCCTTGAAATTATCTGGTTTCTTCGAAATCCTGCACTGTGCAGAAAACCTATGACACGTTATTAATGTACTTGAAATTTGCAAGGGAGAGAAAAGTCTCAGTCCTTAGATGCGTTCCACGTGCTCAGTATTTTTCCTCGAAAATAGATTTGTTTTTTAATGGCTACTTTCCTAGCAATACAAAAGTTATTCACTTTTGAACGAGACATTCAAACGAAAATATCCTTAGGCCTACTTCGCGTGGCCATAATAAGTACATCTTTTAAAATTGACAGGCGTGCTCCTGACCTCCTCGGCCATGCCAAATGCTCCGACGCCTCTTTGTAGATTTTTAGAGGATCTCGAAAAACAGACCTCTTGGGGTCTGTTATTCCGTACAATAGCAGACCCAATGCTTCCGCCATAACCGGTGTATTATGTACTGTGAGTGTCGGACTTAAAAAAAAAATCACCCAGATGCTTCCCCACATTGTTAAAAATGCCCGTAAATTTAAGGACTCGGTAAAGTGAAATATTCCGTATTTTCGGCGTAATTATACGGATCTTTCCGCAAATGGAAATATTGATTATGCTAATTAGCGTGATTATAATCAACCACATCGGCCCAAACACCTACACTTAATATAGTACATCTAAGTACATAGAAATTTTGTTGCAGGAAAACGGAACGCTATTTTCTTCTGGCAGCAAAATTTTTGGAAAAGTTTTGTTTTCATTCCTTAAAATAAACAGAACATTAACACGAGTTTGGACATGTGTACACGGTTGTGAGTGGAATATCCATATGTACTAAGATGTACTATATCATGTGTAGGTGTTTGGGCCGATGTGGTTGATTGTAATCACGCTAATTAGCATAATTAATATTTGCATTTACGGAAAGATCCGTATAATTACGCCGAAAATACGGATATTTCACTTTACGGAGTCCGTAAATTTACGGGCTTTTATTAACAGTGCATATAACTGCAAACGAGCGAAAACATGAAGAGGAATATTAATTCTAAGAGTCTTACCCTTTTTGGACGAGTTAGGCTGGGTGGTAGAGGTACTCCTTGGTCGACCAAGTCTTCCAAAAAATCACTCTTGATGGGGTTCAGGTTGCAGATGGTGACGGCAGGAAACTCCACCATCCTGTCGCTCGAGATTTCCATTTTGGTGTCCACACCGTACGAGTAGTACCGTGTAACAAGCCAAGAGGTCTGCCAGATGAACATGGCAACCCCCGTTAGAAAGAGTGCGGTCCAGAAAATCTTGCGGAAATTGTTGGGTGCCCTTTTGATGTTGGGGATGCCATGTGCCCCGGTGTTTTCCAAGAGGGAGGCGACCAGTGTTTGGGCCAAGCTAGTTTTTGCCAGCAGTTCTTCGTCCGTCAGATCCGTTCGATGTTGTTGCTGTTCTTCCGGTATGCGATCCCAATCATTCCCCTTGCCTTCTAGCTCAATCAGGGACGGTCCCCGCTTAAAGGGCCGCGTTTTCGAGGATCTACGCAACATGACGGCCGCTGTTGGCGGGACTGGCACGGTGGTGTTGTGGGTGGATTGCTGCTCTCGCCCCGCCGACCACTCCACGGAGTTCTGTAGCTGCTCGTTTGATGCGTGGTGGTCGTTTGTTTCCGAGGCTGGCCACCTTTCTGGTGATGCTGCCTCCGATCGATACATGTGTTCAAAGCGAGTTATTGTCACCGACAGAATGGATTTTCGCTATTTCAGATCCGATTGTCTGATCATGGTCAGACTCTTAAAATAAAGCTTACATACAACAGTGTATCCGAAGAATAATCGTGTTTGCAGTTATCATCAAAGATGATTATGAAATAATTCAGTCTGCTCACTTTAAAACAAACACGACACGTGTCAACCGTAACGTATGGCTACAAAACAACCACACTGTACGGGTCCTAGTCCGTTCCACTCGAGAAAAACTTCAAGTTGTACATTCATGTTTCGCATCAATTTTGCTGTGAGTAATCATCAGTCGATATGTGTATGTACCTGATCCACATACAATGTAGGTATATACAATGTAGTGATAACGGCTGCACTGCGAAGCACCAATCTAGTCTTCCTGTTGGTCTCAACTGATTTCCTGCATTCGTGCGTCCAGCGGAATTGCGTTAATAAAACCGCGACTAAGTGGATCTGAGTCCACAAGGTTAAGACAGGAAGTCATTCATCATGGCCTCGCAGTGCTTCTACTAGGCAAAATGGCAGTTGTGTATTTCAGGTCTTGGTCACACATCGCCGAACTCGCTCGATCGCCTATAAAAGTCTCCGTTACGGCCTGGCACTGACCTTCTCAACAACAATTGTTGTGCCGCTTTTGTGCCCAAAATCCCTGAGTGACGCATAATACTGGTTGCCCTAACGACCACCAGTGGTGCCAAACAACTTTAACTGCATGGGGTCGTCATCACTGCACTGAATGGTACGTAGCCAATGGAGAAAGGGGATATAATGCATTGAGCTGAGGAGAGCTGTGCAATTAAAAAAAAGCTTTTGAAAATTTTCGATCTGAGCAAACTGGACAATGCACGAAGGCCAGTGACAAATCCAGGCCGTTTTTGATTTGAATAGGGTCGTGGCTGAATTGTGGTGCCGTAAACGTGCAAACCCACACGTTCACCAAATACTTCACGATGGGGCAAACTTGATAGATATGGACAATGTCAACGAAATATGTCAATATACGCAAAACAGGTCAAAAAATGAATAGAAAAATTCAGTACAGTTCAAATTTTTCATATCTTTGCTCTTATTTCAATTTTTTTCCGCATCTTAACGCTGAATCGTAAAACTGTTATTTTAGTAGGCCTATATTGATGACCCACAGGCGCCCAGCAGAAACAAGGTTGTTGGATGATGGCTTGTTTCATATTTGGTACATGTACATCATTATCGTTTATCAGTATTCCAGAAGCTAGTGCTCCATCCAATGGAGATACTCTTTGTGGTGCTCCAATGTCAAAGTTCTCAAATCACAGAAGGCATCATGGTGCAAGAATCCCATGCATGCCCGATGAGGACAACCGAGAACGGGTTTTTCAATTTCCCAACCAGTGAAATTTTTTATAATCCATTGGTCTACCGACTTCAAACTTGTTGGGCATTGTTGCCACAAAATTAAGCTGTCTTATCCATATCTAACCCTACGGCCGGGTTATTTTGACCATCTCACAGCCGGGGAGAAGGGGGGGGGGGCGGATTCCGCCCCTAAATCTCGGCCATCGAGTGACGAAAAATTATGAAACTCGGTACATGCATATAACAACTTAATATGAACATACCCAAGAAACTTCATGACTATAGGTTAAAGGCTTTGGAATTATGACTCATTAAGTATTCAGATGCAAGTTCCTCGTATATGGGAAAATTCAGTTTTCACGGCGTTTCGCTGCGCGGCAACCCGTAGCCTCCAAATGTTATGTTTTGGGTATCAAAAGATGCGCAAGACTCGGGGCTAAAAAGGCAGGACAGCTCAGGTCACGGATTATTTTTTTTTCAAGGTTATCGCGGAAAAAGTTGGGGGGGGGGCCGATTACACCCGAATCTTTTAGAGTTAAAAAAGAGTCGGAAATGAACTGTAAATCCAAGCATGAAACCCATTTGGGTTTTTATTACGCTCGACAATAGCTTCACTGTTAAAAATATATTACTTTTAATAAGATTTGAAAAGGTCAGTGATCCTTTCCCACTGACAACTATACAAAAGACTTCAAGGTCTGTTTGGATTTCTGACCTTCCAAAACAAACTTGTCGCTGTCCTGTAGTCCTATTTAAGCATGAACGCTTATCATAGCATTGTCATTGTCCACGGACCTTCAAATAATAATAATAAAAAAATAAAAAAATAATATTCAACCTCCCTCTGAATAGATTTGAGAAATAAACTGTATGACAATCTATTTTGTTTTGAACACTTAAATAAACATCCTCATAACCTTGAACCTTCGGCTATTTTTTTGGCTCCACCAATAATCCTCTCTAGATATGTCCGCATGGGGGCGTTATTAGAATCCGAGCTTTACAACAAATATGTCGATATAGAAATATGCCGCAGATTACCAGAGTAATTTTAGATTCACTGCAAAAGCTGTAGTGTTAATTTAACACCATTCGGTATCTATATAGGACAACACCAGTAACATTAAACACCAGATGGTCCTATATAGATACCAATGGTGTAAATTTAACACTGCAGTTTTTGTAGTGTTGGTATGTTTTAAAAAAAAAAGGTTTAAAGCAAAAAGAAACTAAAATACATTAACTTTTGTCGAAATGAGAGGACGCATAAGATTTACTTACAGAGAAACAAAAGAGAATTTTTTTTATTCTTTCAATATTCATTACTGAAATCTCACACACTTATGATCAATCAATTCCTTTGAAAACAATATAAGCTAATATAAGGTTGCCAATACTGAACCATCAACTGTCTCCGAATTTACAGAGTTAATGAACAGCTCCTTTAAAAAGACAAAGCTTCTACTCTATCGAAGGCTGTATTGCATTCAGTCATGATGATAGGACAGGTTTTTTTTAATTTTAGAATACGTGACAATGTAGCAACGGTTACCCAAACCTGAGACGCATATTTTGTTTTATCCTTTTGCAATTGCAAAATATATATGACTGTACAATCCTGGTAGGTAGAAAAGTAAATGTTTTATGAACTATTCTGTAAATTCATGATAATGTCTGCACATCTAAACTACTTGTGACACAAGCGCAATCTTCAGACAAGTACGTAATTATCCATGTAGCCTTTTTTGATGCAACAGTAAACTTAAGCCGACAGCTCATTGAGTAGATGATCTTATTATTACTGTGCGACTGTGCGCATGGAAATACAGAGACAATAGTAAGAGTAGAGAAGCTACTTTTCTTTAGTGTTAAAGTTACAGGCCTTTCTTCAGATCAGAAGTCAGTCATATATCAAATATATATTTCAGTTCAGATCGCAAATGGCATGATAAACAATATACAGGGTGGTTAAAAAAGGACACCCACATTTGACAGCAATTTTCACATATTTTTTAAAATTATTTTTGATTGTCGATTAGTAGCTATTAAAGTACTGGCCTTTAAGCAAATGTGACGAAAAATCGCTGCATTTGCACATTTTGTCGTTGAGCTATGCTAATTTGAACATTTCATGTGCGAAACCTGTTTGTCCATGGAGGTATACATTCCCTTCGCTTGACTGAGCTCTATGGAAGCTTTATTTGAAAGGGCATGACATTTGATTGTCATGTAATGTTATGTAATGTTATGCAACAACGAACTTACGCCGACAGGTCATTGATTACATGATCTTAACACTGACATGAATAATTGAACAGCTTCAATAAAAGTTACCAGGGCAAACTATTATATAATTTGGTGGGAAGGTTTTTATTTTTATGAACTACGAAAACGTCAAATTTACATGGAATAACCCGTGGACAAGACTGATTTTGGTGATTTGTATTCAAATTCGCATAATATCATTATTTTTGCGACTTTTACTAAGTTTTTTTTCACCCTGCATGGATAAAAGCCTATACTTTACTACTATGTGAGAAAACATTTCAAATAAGTTCATTAAGTAGGTGAAAATTGCTGTCAAAAGTCGGTGTCCTTTTTTAACCACTCTGTATATATATATATATATATATATATATATTGAATGCCTCTGTCACAATTCATTTGAAAATTTACTGTTCATGAAAGCGCTCTTCAACAAAATTTGTTCCTCCTCAACTCGAAGATTTGTTATTGAAAAAAAAAACCACTTTTTTTCTAGCATCTGCAAACCTCTAAAAAAGGGTTTTTATTAATATGGGTTCCTTTTGCGCACCAAAAAGTTTCGCCCTGTGAGTAGGCTGGTTTCCTATCCTCACGTTATCAATCATGATTGAGAGGTGGGAACCAGTCCACCCTTCGCGCACTCAATTACATAATGTATTGTCGGACCATGCGTGTTTATAATTCTCAATAGCTGTCGATATTTTGTTATAATGTCTCATTCACAAGCGCATACCTTAAATACTTGGGGGAATAAAGTGTTTATTTCTGGTTTAATTTCATCTTGTATAACTGATGACTTAGTATCAGAATGGACGACTTAGTAGGCCTATCAGAATGGATGACTTGTAATTGACATGTATTGACTAAGTTACAACTCGACTTAATCAAAAATAATGAAGTCGTTAACAAAGTGAACATTGTCAGATTGTGTTTGTTGCAATTATCTCCAATTAACAAGTCAACAGTTCAATTTGATGGCCGGATCTAGCGCGACGTTGTCCCCTGTCACGCTGCGGGCTTTCCTTTGCCGTGTTCCGAGCTCTTGCCAGCCCGTCCCTTCTCGCCTCCGGCCCGGCACTTGGACATGGCCAGCACACAGACGTCCATCATCAACTCGACGAACTCGAAGACTGTCAGCACCGACACGCCTATCCACAGCCCGACCTGACCGCCAAGATCACTGGCCAGTGAGCTTGACTTTAATTGATTAATTGAAACATCCATCGATTAATGCGATTGGCACGGACATTTTCATTAGGGGATACATGTACACTTGAATCTCCTCAGTGTCCAATATTGGACAGTTACATCACATTTTCAAATACATATACACTCACAAGAACGGAGAAATGGCGAAGGATTTTATGCTTGTCTTCTTCAGCCAACGAACCGAGCTCTTCATGCAAGCCTTTAGGTATAACATTTATAATTAAAACGTGTATTAAAGAATTGAATAATTCAATGGATACTTACAGGGTAGGCCTCTGACTGGTAGATGTCATCATAAAAGAGACTGTCGTAATAAACGTTGACTCGGAGAACATTTTCTCTAAGGAAATAATCACAGTTGGAGTTAAATGTGATAATCATTGTGGTCACGAAGTAGGGCAAAATTAAGATTGGTCGGTCATTGACCTTATTGAGATAAGCATGGCGGGCATAACAGGAGGGCGCTATTTTCAGATTGTGAATTTAGGTAATACAGACAAGCTAACCAGTTCATATAGCGTTCTCTATTGCAGAGATACCACCAATACGTCAATAAAAAGCCTGAAACACTTCTAAAAAACTGAAACTACCCTTACCCCTTTCAAAAATGTGGGGTTTTTTTTGTTTCAGACCAAATCCAGCACTTTAATATGTCACATTTTTGGGGAAAAAACACAACTGAATTCAAGTTAAAACCTAAAAAGTGGCATCTCTGCAGTATTTGGTTATTGTGCGAGGGAAAACATACAAATGAATCGGACTATTTGTATTTTTTGATGGCCCTGAAGAAAAATCGAAGCGTACTTATTTTTCACGCCATCGCAATTTTTTTTACGACATCGCAAGTTCTTTTGGACATCGCAAGTTTTTTTTTACTACATCGCTTTTTTTTTTTGCGATATCGCAAGTTTTATTTTACGCCTTCGCAAATACTTTTCACCACATCGCAATTTTTTTCACGTAATCGCAAGTATTTTCTTCGACATCGCAAATATTGTTCACATCATCGCATTCATTTTTAACTTCAGGGCCACCATAAGTATTTTCATACTGAAACTGCATTTTAAGGGACAGATGCACTCCCACAAAAATGGACATGAGGGTTGGCTCGTAGCAAGCGACCGTGCTCTTCGATCTTTTTTTTTTCTCCAACAGGTCGACATTTTAAAAATTGGTTTTATCCTTTCACCATTATGAATGTCCTTATAACTGAGACTTTTGGGTCAATCCCGAGGGGTCTGGTTTGGTACCAGCCATACAATGCTTGATGTGGTGCCGCTTTTTTCATGTACATGTATTTTCATGTAACATAGGCAATAAATCAACTCTCCATGCGAATGGCGACAGTGGACTTTTAACTTCCATCGAGTTTCCACTACAGGTTATTCTACGGACTTTTTATCCTTTCTGAATCAATTCTGTGATTCAGAATATTGTTATCTCTGCGATCAGATTTACTAAGCTTGCCTTGTCTTTTTTTTACTGCAAGAACTTTTTTCCAGACGCATCAGCTAAAATAAGACGTTATACGTACTCAATAAATGCACTGTTATTCCGCATTAAGTCGACGGTATCCTTGTTTGATTTCTGTATGTTCTCCTTGACGGTATCCTAAAATAAAAATAACAATTAAAACATGTCAGGGGTTTCAAGAACTGGTCCGACACCTGCAGCCATTTCATCCCAAACTGTAGCAAAGTGTTGTAACATTATGATAAACATGAATCCACTGAAAGGCTACACATTGATGCTAAGTTGTTTTTAATTTAAATTATAGTGAATGCTTTACTTAAAACAGGTATAGTTCTGCTAATTAATTGTTTACACACATACCACATACCTTGTAATCATGATTTGGCCATATAGAGTGACTAAAGGACCTTTCAAATCGCGTCTCACTGAAATCAATGAAATGGCAAAATTCATGGAATTACTTTTTTTCTTTATTTCACTCAGTACCCGCTAACAATATATTAATAATGTCAATCTAACAATAATATAAAATATTGAGTGGTTGGTTTGGCCAGGGTCATCGTTCGACCTGTGGGCATGTAAAATTTACAACGCCATTACGAAGTTGCCGGTTTGTTAAAACACAGCGTTACCAAGAAAGTACAAATCGGTGGTTTGATACACCATAGATTACTGCCCTTGGTATCACTATCAGTCCTACAAGTTTGCGACTGCATTAACGTGTCTGCCGCCACAAAAATCTTGGAGGTCCACAGTGAGTTAACGCTACACATCTGGGCTCGGCTTTAGCATCATTTTCCATCAGCCCTAATTATGCACATGGAAACACATATTACATGTACTTTGTGCTTAACTATTTTCTGTGATGTTCATAAAGCAGAATAGCTGCAGGACCCATATTGATTCCAGTTGGACGCCCACAATATTCTGTACCCGAATTGGAGGCGAAGCCTAGGTTTTGAAAACGGCCCCAGACTCGGCCTTGATCCTCGTCTTGTTTCAAGTCGGGTTTTGTGTTATTTCCCTTAACGCGTGCACTTCATAGGCCACGCGGGTGAGCATATCAGGTTGAATTCGTCTTGAGCTGAGGCCTATCTAAACGGTGTTCCAGACCTGCAGCCTTGCATGCAGACCAACTTACTTGCAGCTCTTGTGGCAGTGTGTGCAGTCTAACACTCCACTTGTGAAGTTCTGTTGAATTTCGTCGATGCAGTTTTCTTCGCCTTCAAACACATGAATGTAAAACAAGGAATTAAGGCAATTATCTCTCAAATTTATAGTTATTGTTTAGAACAATCAATTAGCGTAAGTTTTGAAAGTTGCAAGTTTAAGCTGAAAGCAATATTGATAGAGAGGACATCGTATTTCGACGACTTAAAGGTAGAGTAGATCATTTGCAGCTATCCAAAAAGTAAGTGACAAATTTATTGTTGAAAAGCTTACTTGGTTTTAATGGCAATAAATTCCCTGTGAAATTATTCTTTCTGGCATGCTGTCATTTTGAAGAAAACAATGAAAGAATGAAAGGCAATTTCCAAAGATGCGTTAAGTGACGCATACATGTATAGTTGGAAATGTCCGTTTGTTATTCAGCGATTGGTACTATTCGTCGGTTCTGTGCGTGACATCGCGTAGCTGCAATCGGCTGAATGAGGACGTGTCCCGGATGCTAATTCCAGGCGCAATTCAAAACATGACTCGGCAAATTTTGAATTGAAATCAAGATCCTATAATATTGTTTTCTTGGAATATACAGCATTCACAGAGCTGAAACTTCTGCAGGTCAGTTGTTAAGCACCCGTCTTTAGATTTTGAGCACTTTTGTTGCTTCAAACGAAACATATTGCTCAAATAACAAAATGATCTACCCTACCTTTAATAAGGGAATGGATATGTGCTTGACCGGTATTAAACATTATGTTTAAGACCGGTAGAAGTTTGGATGTTGATAACGTCCCTTGCCGAACCCATTTATGAAAACATTTTCGTTCAAAACAAATCAAAACTTTTCGGTCCTACGGTCCAACAAGTCAAAAATTATAAATTTCCAACGATTATTTTTTCAACAATTTTACTTCATGTTTTTAAAACACCCCTTTAGCTGTGCTATGGTTTGGCCCTCTCGCGAGTAGTCGTTAACAACTCCTTATTATGGAGATTGGCGCGCGCGTCGCGCGTACTGCGTGATGTGGCGCGGAACGCAGCTGTTCCGGCGTACTATTCCGGTGTATTCGCTGTGGTGTATTCGCCTGGCATTCTGGGAAAATTAATAAGGTGATTTGTTGACTTCAAAATGTAAACACGTCAGGCATAATGATGTCTGCTCCACTGATGTCTGCTCCACTGATCATTACATCAAGGCAGCCACCAAAGAGCTGGAGCAGTGATAACACAGAGGCAAACATGCATGAGTATCGCGTAATGGCTAATAGAACGCTCTCGTGTAAGTTTTACTTACACGTGTAACTTACTCGAACTCGCCTATTGCAACTGTGCTATACATACACCATAACGTACGTTTTCCCAACGTAAAATTTTGTCAAAAACCTCTTACTCTCTATTGATGAGTTACAAGCTGCTATAGAGTCATCGTATCTGTACTGAACGTCAGCGCATTTACATTGCTCCAGTACTTCTTTAAAGTAGCAATCCTTCTCGCATGCCTGTAAACAAAATGATACATTTTAAAACCAATGGACTAGGAAAATCTACCGATATTAAACTCAACTTGGATGAGTAGGTATAATATTGGAAACTGCTTTGGCAGTTGAGAAAAGCAGTTGCTTGTTTTAATATGTTCTTCAGTAATTTGTTCTCCACTTAGTCGGGTATAACTATGTTTTGAGTGAGACACAGATGGAACGATTCCCAATGCAGTGTGCCACCAAGCGGGAGTGCCCTGAAGAGGTCGCCCATTTCGCTCGTACCCCCGCTCTGCAAATAGGATGCTGGGAAGGGCTGATTTCTTTAAGCTCTGATTGGATTTTTAATATCATACACAGCGCGCGTTACCTGTATGCAAAGGTCATGATAAGTTACCAGAATGCCGTCCGTACTTCCTTCACAAGATTCTGTGAAGCGGATTAGCCCTTCACACCGCCCTGTTTGCAGGCGAAGCTGCGAAAAAACGAAAGCGACTGGAGCAAAGACCAAGCCAGCGTTCGCGAGTGGCGAAGCCACAAGGCCTTTTCTACAGCCTTGACTCCATGGGCGCGTGCGCGTTCCTTCACTAACCCCTGGCCGTGATGTTCACGTAAACGATGCTGACTGGCTATTCAGAGCGTACTGCGCGCGCATTTCGAAGATTGAACAGGCGCGCCCATAATGCGCTCGCGTGCTTTGCATGTCACGTCACGTACGAAAATTAGTTGTTTTTCAAAACTCGCGATGCCTGTACGATATGGATTATGGCAGCCTCGTTTTTCGCTAAAAAAAACCCTGTATCTTCGGTTAAGGGATGAAAGGGTACAATCTTTGCTAAATAACGCAACGTCCAAACCTTATGTTTGAAATGATTGACTCTTCAAAATCACAACTTTAAACATTTTCAAGATGGCGTCGGCACGCAAAACGGATAAACTGCAGCCTAATTATAATGTGCCATATTTTGACACATTTAAATTACACAATACCAGGGGTTGAGATCGCGCAAGGCATGATGGGAAACAACATGGCGCAGCAAGATCTCGTACCCATGGGAACGAGGTTGCCTTTTCTAACTTGATAGGCGCGTGTGCGCGTGCGTACGCGCGTCACCAGTCCGTGTAGTAGCCACGCGAGCAATTTTTAAGCTTATGATTGGTTGGAATTTTGCTACCCTTTCAGGGTAGCAAAAATCGATAAATAAATAAAAAATAAAAAATAATTGACAAGTTAAAAAAGGCCTCGTGGCTTTGCCACTCGTCCGTGTGGTCTCCGCTCCAATTTATTTCGCGGCTTCGCCACTCCGTCTAATAATGCCGGTTAAAGCCACGATGGCCTTGGCGAAAGGCTAGGCGGGGAGAGGGGGGGGGGAGGGGTACGAACGAAGTCGCCTATCAACTTCACGGTTGACATTCTGCGTAAAATAATTATATTCCTTTGTTTGCGAACACAAATAAAAATACATTTAATATGTGATGTGAAATAATACAACGAGAAAATAGCCGGTGTTGTGTGACATTTGGACTCTACGAAATCGGAGTCATTGACTATATTGGGCATGCCAAAGTGAAGATAATCGGGACAAACAACATATTCCATAGGAGTCAAAATTTTATATGACACCGGTAATTTTCTAAAATTCAACCTGTTCCGTGTGCGTACATAAAAGTATAGTCCTCGGCAGAAAGAAAATAAGCCATAATTTTGATTAGCAAATGGCCGATGTGGCTTAACATATTGACGCCATATTCTGAGTACAAAAATAGGAAAATTATTTTTAGTAACTTTCTCCAACCGAAAAACTACAATGATTGTAAACTGTACGTTTTTTTAAGGCCAACAAAAATTGTTCTGCTTCCGATTACATGCCTCTCAAAATAGGGTCGGTTGGTCGGATTTTTTTTTTTTTTGGCCAATTGTTTTTGTGCTGATTGAATGGAGTATTCAACTATGCGAATTTCAGCCTGAACTATTTCCATTGCACTACGAAAGCTATGCACAAAATGGCCATAAAAAGTGATTAAAACTTACCTTAATTATTGTCCAAATATTTACGGTCAATAATTCTTACAAATAATGGAAAATTCAGGTCGTGCACACCGTATGTACAAGGCTAGTCATGACGGGAAACTGGCCAACTGTCCGTATATCACGCGGTATGCAAGCGTGCGTGATGCACTGTGTGTGTGGCGGGCGAATAACCTCGTTTTTACGGTAGGAAATTTCGGGGAAACACGCTGCATCCTATCAATCCAAATACGAGTAGTACGACCTCGAAATGAAATCATCAACACGGAAAATACATACACAGACAAGAGAGATCAAGTTCTGTGAATTAACTTGCAAAAATGTTCTTTTTCCATCGGTGTTTTCTGCGCATTTTTACGATGTCTGATGCGACCTGCAACTGCAGTGCACCTTGGACTGGTTACCGCATTTCCATCATGTCTTCTTTTAGCCCTTTCAATTCGGTACACGGCGCGGCGGGAACCAGTCATCGCTGCATTCAGCATTTTTTTTTTAACGCACGTGTTCATATCGTCACCGCGAAATCGAATTGCGAACTAGTTATCGCGAAGCGAACTTGTAAAAACAACGGAGGTTTCTTCTAAAAAAATAGCGAATGTAAGTTTTATGTAGACAAACAAATAAATACAAGCATTTTTTAGGCAAAAGGGTTGTTGAGAGGTGTTTTGTGAAAACAGAAAAGATATCAGGTTTTTGTTTATTTTTTTTAATTGCCGATAAAAAATTTAAGTTCGCAGCCTAAAAATAGGGTCGGGCGGGTAGCCGGAAGCAGAAGATTTTTTTCTTGGCCTTAGCTGTAGCGACATGTAAAATTACGTCTATATCCTTGCTTTTGTGTCTGTTTATATCTGTTAAGGATGCACCCATAGACACCAGTGCTAAATGCCCACACTTTAACATTCTTTCAAAAATACTCAGAACTCTCACAGGTATTTCAGCTGCACAGAAAAATGATGATCAATATGTCATCTTTCAATTTCTTTTCAATTTTTGATAGGTTGAGCATGGACTTTTCCCAATTTGAGCATGGACAATGGGACCAAGTTTTTAATGTTAGGCATTGGGACAAAGGTAGTCTAACTGCCTTTGTGTGGATATTAGTCTGGCCCACAAAAATGTTGTCAGCGAGTAAACACAATTCTTAAAACTTTCTTGCTATCACCTCATGCTAAAATGTTTAGCATGTAAACACCCATACTGGAATTTGTATCCTTGTGGTGACATTTCTTTGTTCTCGTGTAGTAAAGTTTTCGAGTTTGAAAGTGTAGTTTCACAATGCTCTTATTATAACCAGAATTAATTTCCTCGGCTGAAATTCGGACTTAATATCCCTTTTCTAAAACTCTTCCATTTGCGACTGATCAACATACCTTGGAAATTCCTAGTTTTTGAGTAAAGTCCGTATATCTATTTCGTGATAACCTTGTGGAGACGTATTCATCTATAGAAATTGCCCTGTGGAGACGTATACAATCTTTTGTTCCCTATTGTGTGCATGTCTCCAGAGGGCACGGTGTTTCAGATCATGTTTACAAACTAATAGCAAGAAAGTTTTTAGAACTGTGTTTACTCGCTAAACACATTTTTTTTGTGGGCCAGGCAATTATCCACAAAAGGCAATTGGGCTACCTTTGTCAAATTGACTACTTGGTCCCATGGTCAGTTTGACCTCCCTTGGAACTCTGTCAAACATTATCAGATTTTGACGTTTGATGTCTCATTTTAATTGGAACGGCATCTTTCAAACCATACATATCCACTTTTGTTTTCTTCATATATTATCTATGTTGGTTATACATTCTTCGTCTGGCATTCCGTTATATTTTGTTTAAATTTGTTTTATACACACTGTATTATGGTGATTGAAATTTTTACCGTTTTAGTGTACTCCAGATGTCCAAACTGATTCTTGAATATGTTATCTTTTACAAAGTGGTCTGCGCAGTCGCCGTAGGGTAATGGTAGTCTGTTGACCATGACCTATTGCAAGGAATGACAAAACTATGTTATTCAAATGTTGCATTATTTAAAATTGCATGGAAATCGCTTTAATGGGATTCACCGCACCCTGTAGTTTTATAATTGTTAAACTGAAAAGAACATTTCCTTAATTCAATAAAAAAAAGAAAGTTATGTGGGGAAATCACTCACTATGCTTTCCTTAATCAAATATAAAATTGCTCATATGCATCAGAGTTGTAAAGAGTCACTGACTTTTGTGACTCGAGTCGAGTCGAGTCGAGTAATTTTAAAGAAGTGACTCGAGTAAAGTCGAGTCATCAGGGCAAGAAGGTCGAGTCGAGTCACATTGTGTGTAGTCGAGTCGAGTCGAGTCAAGTATTTAGGTCGAGTCAATGTGAGTCGCAAATATTTGAACGCTAGACAATAAATAAACACAAGAGAGAAAGTCATTTGTTTGGCATTTTTAATTTTACATTCCGGCTACTACATGTGGTGATACCACATAAAAACGGGGTGCAAGGTGATCGCCATTCAACTAATGTATGTACATGTATACATTATTCGCGAACATTCTAACGTGACATGAACAAAAACCGGCACCGGCGTAAGTCATTGCAAATGTTTTCGCAAAGTTTTTCTTTTATTTTTGGGACTCGGGTCTTATAAGCCTTCCTCGAGTCGAGTCGAGTCATTCTGATGAGGAACTTGAGTCGAGTCGAGTCATTTGCTCGCAGTGACTCGAGTCGAGTCGAGTCATTTGCCCTTTGGGACTCGAGTCGAGTCGAGTCACCAAAAATTGTGACTGGAGTCGGACTCCAGTCGAGTCATTGACTGAGTCATTACAACTCTGATATGTATGTAACGCAGCATGTAGACTATGACACACTACTGCAATAATACATTTTATTGAAATACAAACAAAACACGGCTACCACTTTTGTGTGTCCCTAAATGTGAGTGAAAAACCAAGACAAATGCCAGATATTAAAAACGAACCAACAAACCTTTCCGATGGCGTTACGGCATAGGCCAACTTTAGAGTGAAAAGAATTAAAAAACAAAACAAAAACAAAAACAAAAAAACCTGGCATATCTTTGCAGGAAGGTCGCCATCTTTCCTACAAGGCATGAACGCCGCTTATACAGTGTATCTGCATTGCTCACATCAACCAGTAGCTAATGATCGACCGAACGATTCTCTCTTCATTGTTGTATGGTGAATTTTAGGGTTCGGTTTAGAAACTGATGGGGCAAGGGTGTAGGTTTAGGGGTCGAACGATCCATCCCAAATTTGGCACAAGTCCTTTTAATAATGTTAATAACTGTCAACGTCAAATCAACTGTCTTGGCTAACGTGTGTAGTCCATAATGCCTGTGATCACAAACATAATTGAGGACGCACGACTATAAGACTGTTTCGTCAATGAATACATGTACATGCGTGCAGGCTGTTAAGAGCACTTTGTGTTTGCCATCCATTACTACGCTCTATAGCAATTATCGGGCTTGAATACAAAAATAATTAATTTGAGCAATATTGCCAATTACCACGCGCATTTTCTCCGATAGAGTGAGCAGTTTAACATAATCACACAGCCTGTAAAACCCCCTGACAATTTAGCGTAGGCATACACTGACAGACAATGAGCACGGTCTTTGTAACTTTTGGTAATATTATTGTCCTCATTGTGTTATGTTAAGAAGCGTCTGCAATCTTTTTTTTTTACAAAGCCTGCATTATCTGAAACGCTATATATTGTTAATGAATTTCTGGAAGTAGGGCTTTATTAAACACGACTCAATTTGCTACGGTATTGTTGCTTTGGAGTGTAGTTTCAATTTGGAAGCGAAGTCTGTGAATCGATTTCATAATCAGACAGTTAATGACTACATGTATTACAAAACTCCGTCACGCTCGGTTTGAATTGCTGGTCGAAAATACTCAGGTGTTTTATTATAGCTCCATGATTATATTAAGCTGATAGCTTTCACCATGGCTCCATGCTTTCACCAATGTTGATATCTACGTTATTTGTCCATGTAGTCGAATCCATCACAAGTCCTTGCAATAATAAGTCCTCCGCAAGTTCGTCACAAATCGGCCAGTCCTAAATCATGTCACAAGCTATATATGCATGAATTGTGACAAAGGAGTTCTTTTATTACTGTTCATCCCCTGTTACATTTCGTGACAGGACTCGTGAAGAGACTAATTGTGATTTAATTGGGACCGCGGACTTGTGATGAACTCGTGTTGGATTCGACGACAGCATTAGTAGATGTAATGTCTTAAACATTAATCACGCACACGTACATGTACATCAGAGGCAAGCAATTTAAAATAATAGGGGGGGGGCCAATGGACAGATTTGGGTTCCCGTGGAAATTTCATGTTAATTTATGGCAACCGTTTATAAATGTAAACTTATGAGTCCTAAGAACAAGAAAATTGATGTTGCCATTTTTTCCATTGACCTTTAGTGACCTTGACCTGAGGTCAAAGTTTACGGGTCATTTTCACCTAAAATGTGCCTTCCGGTAGGGTTTGTGAAGATTTTCGAGGCAAGTGAGCACATATTGTATTTGGTTGAGAGTTTCTCCATCACAATAAATGTTACTATTAATGTATTCATGGGTTTTGCTGAAGAAAACATGAGCAAATGTCACTTTTACCCGAAAAGGGCCGGGTTGTTTTGACCATCTCACACAGATTCCGCCCCCCATGACCTCGGCCATCGAGTGATGAACAATTATGAAACTCGGTACATCATAGAACAACTTGACATGAACATACCCAAGAAATTTCATGATTATAGGTCAAAGGGTTTTGGAATTATGGCTAATAATTAATCATTCATAAGCACGTATGGTAATTCAAATGTGTACACTACGTACCGGTATATAGCGAAATTCCGTTTTGACGGTGGGTAGCGCTGAAAATTTTTCACTGCGCGGCAACCTGTGGTCCAAATTTTATGTTTTTGGTATCAAAAAGATGTGCAAGACTCGAGGCTAAAAAGTCAGGACAGCACTGGCCGCGAAATAAAGGGTATCGCGGAAAAAGTTGTGGGGGGGGATTTTGAGGACCTGTATTTATTTAAATGCAAAATATGACCAACCCTTTAGTGCCCGGCATCCAAATATGAAGATGTTGTACAGTGTCCTCTGCAGAACCGCACTCACACAGGGTGTTTGTCGGTTGGGGAAAAGCCCCACTTCTTCATGGTGCTTTTGGTGCGAGCCCCTCCAGAGCGGAGGCGATTTAAGCACCTCCAGGTCTTCCATCCTGCATTTGATCCTGTAGGTAAGGCTTCTGCAGGCTTGATGGGCATCTCATGTAGTGGGAGAGACGGTCAATGTCTTCTCTATCGCAGTAAAGCATTGTGTGTTGATATGCTATACACAAGTCGTCAGCATATGAAGCGCTTTGCGAGTGAGTCTGTCGGTTGGTAGCTTGTATAGATGTTGTACAGGAGAGATGCAAGCACACTCCCTTGGGGAGACCATTCCTTTGAAGATGTTCTCTACTCTGCCATTGAATTCTACAAAGAAATGATGGTTCTTCAGTAGAACACCAATAAACTGGGTAAGGGTCATGTCTGCCGTCATCTTCAGGAGCTTCTGAAGGAGTCGGCAATGGTTAACAGTGTCATAAGCAGCTGTAAGATGAACAAAGACAGTGCCGGTGATCTATTTTTTCTGATGGAAGCCGTCCTCAATCAGAGGTTTAGAAGCTGTCCAGTTGTAGATTTGCCGGGACGGAAGCCTGCCTGCCTGTTCCTGTATCAGTTGTTTCTCAATGAAGAGGCAAGACGGCTGAGCAGGAAATGTTCCAGCAACTTGGATATGTGACCTAGAAGGGATTTGGGACGATAAGGTTTGACCTGCAGTGGGTCTGTCCCAGGTTTTAGGAGGGCGATGACCTTCGACTCTTGCCACACTTTAGGTATTGTTTGTGTGGCGAGGCAGGTGTTGAAGAGCTGGAGTAACCAATTTGAGGCGTTTGGTCAAAGATGTTTCAATTCTTTGGTGAAAATGTTATCCAGTTTAATTGCTTTCCTGTTCTTTATTTATGCCAGTCGCAAGTTCATTAGCAGAGAAGGATTTGATGAAGCCAATGTCGAGGGCGGGGTCTTTCTGGCGGAGCTTGGGTTTCGGTTGCATTGGAGAACGTGGCACTTTACCATTTAATAGCAGTTGTTGTGGGCTATTTGGTTGGTGGTGATGTTACAATGCTGTTCACTAGGCTCTGTGCGGTCATTGCTGAGCTTTTTGATTATATTCCACGCTTGGAGGCCATATTGGCTTCTTGGCCATATTGGTGGTTACCACAAGGGTTTGCCACAAGCTTTGAAGCTGTTCTGGTATGGCTGTTATTGATTCCTCCCCAGATGAGATTGTATCGACAGCAAGAGGTTTGTTTTCACTCAGGCGTTTGTATTTCCTGTAAAGTTAAGCACTACGGGATGCTAAGCCTGGGATGTAATCAGTGCGGCAGCCCCTAGGGATGTTCTTGCACCACCACATCAACAAACCGGTGTCATAGTTATCGGGGTTGGATCAATCTCAGCCATAGATTGTGTTTGAGCTTATTGGTGAAGCCTTCCCAGTTGGCCTTACTAAGTTGAAATGGCGGCGGAATGGAATTGTTGCGGAGAGACAGCAGCAGTCACTTTGATTCCAATAGGGCGATGTAGGGTCTTTGGAATGGGGTCAAGGACCATCTTGTTGCTAAGCGAGGCGATGTTGTAGCTCACAAGGGCTAGAGCAGGATTGAAACTTTATCTCCAGCCTCAACTGTGGAAAGACTTCGGCAGTTACGCATAATGAATAAGGCTCAGTTGCCTTGCTTCGGCCAGCGATTCAAAAGCGTCGCCGTCTGTGATGGAATGATAGCAATGATGCTGCTGTGGCTATTAAATCCCCGATAATTATGCATGGCTTGGACTGTTTTTTTGGATTGTGGCGGTGGCATTAGGAAGGGGCTTCCGTATGGTTTGTAGACAGATGTTGCTACTCCACGTGAGCTCAGTATTCAGGACTTTGATGTTCTGGTCATCAGATATGAAAGTTGACTGGATGACAGTCCCAGTTTTGACCCCTCCCCCCCCCCCCCAAAAAAAAAAACGCACTCCCATACTTCTCGTAGGGGCGCTCATCATTGTCAATGTCGTACCGTGGATTTTTGGTCTGTTGGTGGGACCATTGTGCATTTCTTGCAGGCAAAGCACACCGCACATGGTGTTCTTGCAGATATTGGCAAAAAGGTAGTCTACGTTGGCCATATCCCCTCAAAGTTAGCAGATATTACTGTCAGCGCCAGCCTTAACAAAGGCCCCACTGCTGTGCCCTCCTGGGGGTGGCGATGACATCTGGAATTTGGAGAGACACCAGGAATTTGGGGAATCATCTTCTTCCTCCGTCGATGTTAATCAGATGAACAGCTCGTTGGTTGAATTGTTTTTGTTTCTTTGGTTGTAGTGGCACTGGGACTAAGAAACAGGAAATACCATTGGCACCAATAATAGCCAATGCCCTCGGCGCCTCCACAAATGCAGGCTTCCATGCTTTCACTGGAGCTGAGCAGACGGGTAAGTTTGCGGTGTTGGCAGGCACTAAGTTAATGTTCTGCCGAGGTGTTATCTGCCTTTGCTGCGTTGGGAGCTGCCTGCAAGCTGACAGCCGCAACAGAAGGAGGCATCAAGGCATTTGTATGCCAGCCTGTCACGTTGCTCGAGTGACGACGATGATGAGGAGGATGATCCTTCAATTTAGTTCTGAACTGCAGCAGTTTGTACTGCTGGTATGGTCGGCCATGGACACAATCCTTTATAAACATTAGACAGATGAACATGTGTTTGCTGTAAGATCTAAAAGTGTATGTACATGTATGTAATGTTCCGCCAGCAAAAGACGTACGTTAATAAATAGTTGAAAACACGTTGATATTTTACTGGAAAATTCAGCTGTTTATACTCCACACACTAACAGAACTTTGAGAACGCATGCAGAGCAGTTACTTAATATAAGAAGCATTATTAAAACCCCAAAGGGGTAAATGGATATTTAATCAATACTTAAGCTCCTTTTTCTAACACCATATTGTGTGCATTTTAACCCGTTTTGGGGTATATTATTGAAAATAAGATTAAGGTATCAGAAAATGGTCAGAAGATAATGGCAACATCAATTTTTTGTAAGTTAAAACATCCCAAAAGATGGTCCAACCAATTGCCAAAAATTAACATTTCATGCCAACGGAAGTACATTGGCCCCTCCACTATAAGATTAATGAATAATTTGCATGTTTGGCGGGCAGTTTCTGAGGAAGCATTAGTATGTGACTAATTCATGCAGACCGATCAGCTAATATTGAAGTCATATCTCAGATAATCACGGCTGAGAGCCGGGAAATGGTTTATAGCAAAAACGGAAAATGGATAAAGGAGATACTCAAAAAGGAGAACTTACTATGACACTATGGAAATGTAACCTTGTGGACTATAAAACGCAGACAAAATGTGCCCGTAATAGTCCATATCCGCCACTTTGCTTTAGTAAAAGGGATATAGGATCATTTGCTCTTCATGTATTTTGTTTGTTACCAATAATAACACCACGCATTCAAAATCCAAAGAAGACTGTTAAAAACCTAACCTGGTGAAGATTCAGCTCAGTGGATATTACACTTTTCGAGAAAACGGGGGGGGGGGACTATGCACAACCTGTTAATCACGAAACACGACTTCGTCTTTTAATACATCTCTTTATTTCCAACGATCAGTCAATCGATGGAAATCATCTACAATGTACATTTCTTGATTTCTTCTAAAATGACAGCAGGCCAGATGGAATTTCACGGGGTGTTTAATACTAGTACGATCTTGCTTTTTGACAATAATTCGGTAGGTTACTTATGGGATAAAAGCAAATGTTCTTATGTGCCTTTAATATATATGATCCATGGCCGGCCGGAACATTTCAATGGTTTGGTCAGGCACAACCCCTCGCCTTTAAAAATTTCTGGCATACCCCTCGCCTCCTTTGCATTGATCAAGAAATGAGGGAAAGACAATGCTGAAAAAAATCATACCCGAAAAATTCCGATGAAACTCTCGGTACCAGGAGCGACGTTTGCACCTTTGTCCTCGGGAAAAGGCATGTCTGTCTGATTGTGGACCATGATTCGCACCCCGGCCCCAGTCTCCACACCGGTGATGTACAAGTCCTGTTGAATATAAAGCTCCATAGACAACCCTATAGGAAAAAGAGAATAAAAACCCAGTCACAGCGCCGTAAAAGGTTTTCGATAGACACTCTGGCAAAATGCAACAAAACAACTTGGCTGAAATAAGAAGCCTGCCAAATGCAACCAAAAGTGAGTACGCATGTATCGCCTTGGCACTAAGAGCAGTTACCCTTGTAAATGCAACAAATTCAACAAAGCAAGGGGACTTGAGTTGCCTGCTTAAAGCAACAGTAGGGCACATCATGCAACATTTAATTTTTATTTTTGTTGCTTTCTGTTGCTTTTAGCAGAGTTAGGGTTAAACCAATGGAGTTTGTTTTTAATAGCGTCGACACCACTTGCTTCGGTTCTGGATAGAGCATGCAATCTTAAAGGGAATGTACAACATTTGCTTTTGCTGCAATTTTCAGAAATAAGTGGATTTGGAGGATTAGTATGTTTATCGCAAAAAAAAATGTTAAAATGACTTGTTTCACGTTTTGGGCTTGTAGATGTTGGAAAAACCAAGAAAACCAATCATGTTCTTGTAGTCTGATTCCCCGACCCCACTTAAGATGAAACGGAGCAATTTATAGACTTTTGGGAATTGTAAGGTCAGAGAATCAGTCTCGCAGGCCTGTACCCCTTTACAGGTGTGCAATCAATTGCAAAGAAAACAATGAATAACTAATTATGAAAAATTAGAAGCAGGTTTTGAAAAAAGCCAGTTTTTTCCAACGCTGGTCCGCCTACCAGCGTTGGAAAAATACCATTTTTCTTGAGAATGATAACACACCAGGAGCCATGATTTTACAGGATGCTTTAGATTGTCATTCCCTAACAATCCAGTAAGGTATTTCATGATAATGTGATCATTTCGTTTTGTGGTGTTTGCAAATGTTGTATCTTCCCTTTAATTAATAACACTAAAACAATAAATGCCACCATGCATTATAATGAGCAATGCATTAAATTAAAAGTGCTGGGTTTGTCATGGTAAGTTTGCCTGAAGCAGCGGCACAAGTGGTATGCACTTTGCAGGGGCGGGGAATTTGAGGGGGGGGGCATTTTTGCCTTTCTCAAATTCTGAGCGTTGCCTACCGCGAAAATTTGCTGAGTTGGCATAATTATGTGTTATTTTCGGACTGTCGTGCTTGGAGCAACCCATGTCGACCGAAATAGATTTTTTTTTCACGGAGGTTAACTTTATGTATAGCTTTTCCCTTGACGAGACTCTGCAATCGTTCCGAAGGACTGCAACAGTCGATCTGTCGACAAAGTATCTATACTATATTTTCATCATCACTTTTTGCGTACTTTTTATTCAAAGTATTGAGATAATTTGGTTCAGCACGAACACTACACGAAAGTAGTGCTTATTTTCATAAAAGGCCATAAATTTATTTTCAGCGACTGAATTTGGATTTTAATTCCCTTAAACAACCGGTCCGTGCATGACATTATTATGCGAGCTCGCTATACACACGAAAAATCAAATCCGGTATTGGCAATATTGGCAGCGCTACCCAGGAAATTCCGAGCCATTAATCCTAAAGGGGCCGGGTTATTTAGAACATCTCACAGCCGGGGGGGGGGGGGGTTCGAGTGACAAAAAATTATGAAACTCGGCACATGCATATATAGAACAAACCCAAAATATTGAATGATTATTATATATGTTTAAGAATTTCAAATTATGGCTAATTAATTATTCACATGCACCAATGGTAATTCTGCTTTGTGTACACTACGTCTATGGGGAAATTCAGTTTTCACTGAGCGTAGCGCCATTACTTTTCGCGTCGCAGCACCCCATGGTCGGAATTTTATGTTTCTGGTATCAAAAGATGCGCAAAACTCGAGGCTAAAAAGTCAGGAAAGCTGGGGTTGGAAAACGTTTGTTTGAAAGGGTATCGCGGAAAAAGTTGAGGGCCGGGATGGTCTTCTAGTGGCCTCTAGTGTGACTAGGGTTTAATAGGGTTAACACCTCACGCGTGCTTAATCCAAGCTAATGTATGCGTGCCCATGAGGTATGCTCGGCATTTCCCGGGTAGCGCTGCCAATATTGCCAAGATTCATCTTGTTGATAGAGACCTCCACCGCCCGCTGCAACTTAATTGCGTTCGTCACGGGACTGACTGCAAAATGAGGGAATAAAAATACAAAACCAGTCTTGGATCCAGACTACGCACGAACCGTATGAAAGTCTGAATTATTGAAACGGTTTTGGCTTTACTTTCATCTAAAAATAAATTAAATTGTCAAACATTAGAATTTTGGATTCACGTATGTTCATATTTACTAAAATGGCATGCACCCTATTTGCTGAAAAACAGCATGCATGTTGTTAATTATACGTACCATAGGTTGGTCCTACTTTGGTAACATTGATTGCCTCGACGCCTTTGAATCCAGAATTGAACGTGTAACAGTTGCCGTAACGGGAATTGTAGATGGTGGAAAAGTTCCTACAAATTGGTAAAATTAGGTCAGTTAAAAGCAATTCAATATAAACAGTTGCATTGTTAGACTTTAGGGACAAAAAGTTTTGGATGACCGGTCGAGTGTTAGTCCGAAGCCATGGTGATAAATTCAAGTCAAATGGCAAGTTAAACAAAGCCAAGTCACAAGTCAGTTTAAGTCAAATTTCATAGAGCTGATTAAGCCGGGCACAAAATTTGCCTAAGCACCAAAAAACTTTGCTTAATATAATCAGGTTACCCACCAAAACTCCATGCGATTGTTACGGTAAGTAAACAACAGTTAAAAATACCAGTCACAAGCAATGTGAATCGCATGTCATTTTGGTCAGTATCCATCAGGACACAATTACATAGAGCTGCTGCTTAAGCACACAACTTGCTTAAGCACAAAAAAAAATCTTGCTTAATATAATCAGGTTACCCACCAAAGCTCCATGCGATTGTTAGGCTAAGAATACCAGTCACAAGCAATGTACATCGCATGGAGTTTGGGTTGGCAACCTGATTATATTAAGCAAGGTTTTTTTGTGCTTACGCGAATTTTGTGCTTAAGCAGCTCGATGAAACTGGCCCCAGGTCACAAGTCAGTTGCAGGTGGCTGGGACTCCGTGAAGGAGCTCAGTCAGGAAGCAAGAACCTGACTTCGAACTGCTAACTTCACTACCTGAGACGCCCCAACCCGACCTCACGAAAGAAGAAGAAACTAGACTTATGTTTGTGGACAAACACAGGGCCGTTTCGGTTAACTTTTTGTGACATGTGACCAGTAAAGTTTCAAGTATAAATTCCATCCAGGAAGGATATGTAGTTCTGTTTATAATAAATGGTAGCATATAATATGAGATTACATTCTCATAGGGCTTTGAATTATGACGTCACATGTCACGTGATGACGTCATAAAGACGTCAATATCGTTTTTCATCTATAATTATAATTTTTTTGGTGAATAACAACTAAGTCAGAGCATACATCGTTGAAAGCAAGTTCACATCTTTCACCAATTTTAAATTATAAGGCATTTCCGGTTTCAACCGGAAGGAAGGGTCACATGATTTTGCACATAATATCAAACATGAAGACCCTGGATTATTCTATCAATTCCCGCAAAAATCACGTTCAGGTCTTTCACGGTTGATTTTATATTGATTTTTAAAGATTAAATCTATTAATCATTAACGTGACGTCATGTAATCCATGATGACGTCATCATGACGTCACTTCTATTTTCATCTATAACACATCCCGGTCTAGGTACATACCAACTTTCAACCCAATCAAACCTGTAGTTCTGTAGATATTGGCCTTTAAAATATGCACATTTAATATGACGTCACTTGTCAAGTGATGACGTCATCGTGACGTCACTTACACTTTCATCTATAACACATCCCGGTTTAGGTACACACCAAGTTTCAACCCGATCAGATCTGTAGTTATGAAAATATAGGCCTTCAAAATATGCACCTATATTGTGACGTCACGGTCACGTGATGACGTCATGATGACGTCAATGTTCGGCACACATCTTCAGATGCTGGTCTAAGTGTGTGCCGACTATATACAATCAATCGGATTGATTTTAGTGCCAAAAGTGCCTTCTACTGTGACAACGTGTACAAATGTTATGGGAATGGCTGAAAAAGAAGAAAAAAGAAAAAAGAAAAAAAAAAACTTTTAACAATAAACAAAGGCTGTTTCGGCTGGTTGCCGAAACAGCCAAAAAAGAAGAAGAAGAAGAAGGGCACAAGTCAAGTCACAAGCAACAGGGGTGAATAATGACAAATGACTGTCTTTATCACAGTTTATTTGAATAGTCGACTTGATTGATACGAATGGAGTGTAGGCCTACTAGAGGAAGTCCGCAACCTGTCTCGTTAACTGCAGCCAATTTAAATGATAAAACATCATCAGGTATCTGGTCTATTAGTGAAATGAAATCACAAACTGCGGTTCAAAGGGCTTTATTTGGGGAGTGCCTAACGTTACTTTGTACCTTAAAAAAAAACCAAGTCTGAATCATGCTTTTCGATTGGACAAAAGTACAGTTTATATTTCAATGGGCAATAAAGCCAGCTGTCACATGTTCTCAATTTTCAAAATAATCTGGCGGTCGGTTGGTAAAAAAAATTGTGAATATTTCCCCTGATAATGATGGTATTCAAGCCCATAGACTTCTACGCAAATTTGTTCAAGCTTTAATTACCTTATCCTATACCCCACGAATGTTGGTATTTTAAATGATTGGACCACGAGCAATCAATCTATAGCCTCTTTACGACGCTAACATTTTGCCCCTAAATAGGGGCTGCGAAATGTCTCCCTAATGTCTCCCTTTAATATGTCCGGTTAAGTCTCCCTAATGTCTCCCTTATGTCCGGTTCATGTCTCCCTAATGTCTCCCTTTAATATGTCCGGTTATGTCTCCCTAATGTCTCCCTTATGTCCGGTTATGTCTCCACAAGGTACCATTAACATGTGTACCTTTTTACAAATCGATTGTCCTTGGAGTGGTTGTAATGCACGGCGCACGGTGACTTCTAGCCTTTAGTCAAGGCGCGCGTGTCTACCTGGACGCGTGGCGCCCCAGATTCTGGCACGAAAAAAAGACCAGTGCGAGTGGCGAAGCCACGACCGCCTTTACCATCTCGTGGAACTAATCATTATGCATTTTTTAAAGTAATATGAATCATGCATGTTGCATATATATATGAACCAATCACCACGAACAAGCCATTTTTGAGGTGACGACGCGCGCGCCCTCCCTCGAGGGCACGCACCACACGCGTTCTTAAAAACACGACGCGCACGCCTTTCACAACATGTCATGCATGATGCATGTCTACCAAATCTGTAGACAAAATGTAAAGAAAAACATAAGCGTTCTGCACGAAGTGGTAAAGGCCCTCGCGGCTTCGCCGCTCGTGCTAGTCTTTTTACCAGGATGCGTCGAGTGTCCGGGTAAGCGCGTGGGACTTGACTAAAGGCTAGGTGACTTCACGTCTAACGGCCAAAGGGCTATCCAAATATTTTACATGGAAATCAACGGGTTGCACAAGCAAAAGAAGTGATTGTGAATCGCGTATATAGGCCGTTATCAAGTTGCGGCCATCCTGAATTGTCCCCATTCAAATCAACGTAACCAAAGCGAGGCTGGAAGAACAAAATAGTCTGGTTCCTTTTTACACAAAAACATTATCATTAAGTACTGCTATTGGATACAGGGAACATGACTGAAATGGCGGCAGCATGATAAAGGTCTATTGAACACTGAAGATGAATCTTACTTCGGGGAGCAGGGCTTCTCTTGAAACGTGCACTTGAGCAGCATGTCATTGAGATGGTGCCCGGTCTTGGATCTTTCTGAGTACGGCATGGCCCCGACGATATCTGTTGCTGAGTCGAAAGTCTGGCGGTCACAGTCCTCCGCGCTGTAGTCAATGTCGGCTGAATCCCAGTCACTTGGATAACCCTAAAATGATCAAAACAGGAAAAATTATCAAAGTAAAAAAGGGATCTTGATGGTTTGAATTTCACAGATTAGGCTACGTGTATTAATTTCTCTAAGCCAACACTGAAAAACTGCCTGGGTTAATTTTACCCAAGAAAGGGTGAAAACTGCAACTACCGAAAATTAGGTTGTTCTATAACCAATTGTTTGGGTTAGAATTTCTGTTCAAATCAACTAAAACTTGTGGTTATACAAGACTAAATTAAATTTGGTCTTGTATGACTTCAACTTTTGGTTGAATTTAACAGAAATTTTAACCCAAACAATTGGTTATAGAACAACCCAATTTTGAGTAGTTGCAGTTTTCACACTTTCTTGGGTAAAATTAACCCAGGGCATTTTTCAGTGAAGGACCCTAGAAACTAAAAATAAACACTTTATTGTACAGTACAGAACACACCAACAAAGGAAATGCTAGGTTAAATAATTCGGTAAACATGCACTGTACTCACTCGATTCACACAAAACCCAAAGTGTTTAAAAATGGACAAATAACATGTAAAAGATGCTTGAATTCGCCCATGGAAGAGAGAACAGGTATTATCTACAAGATAGCTTGCACTGATTGTGACAGTTTCTACGTTGGAGAAACAGGGAGAACATTAAAGGAGAGATTGAAAGAACACAAACGAGCTATTAGACTGAACAATCCATCTCTTTCAGCAGTTGCAGAACACGCCCTTAATACTGGACACAACATTGGTTGGGACAATGCCCACATTATCGACTTTGAAACACATTTCTGGCCTAGAAAGGTGAAAGAATCCATCTAGATCAAAAGGATTAATCCCTCGCTGAATAGGGACTCTGGTTACTCATTATCACCTATCTACGCTCCAGTGATCTCGGGACAACGGACAGCAAGAAACTGAGTACACAATCACTTGGCTTGAGAAAGTCCACAGGAGTGGATGAAAGCTTGCCCACTAATTTTCAGGTTGGTAGAAGCTTAAACTACATGTACATGTTATGATCACCCCAACCAATGAAAGTTTTCTGTATTAGATGCTTGAATGTTTGGGTTGCTTATCCGGGTTGTGTTGGCATAACATAATACCATGGTCTACACTGTACCAAAAGCCTAGGGTCTTTTTGGTCCACTCAATCCGACTTCTATAACCCCTTTAGTCTTATTAAACTGTGACTCCAAAAAAACCCAAAGGGGCATTCTACCTGATGTTTGATGGCATTTGCCACAACCGTTCCATTACATCCAATCGCATTTCAACAGATACACATGCAAAGCAGAAGAGAATTAGCTGAAAGTTGACCACATGACCACACTGAAAAGTTGTCTGTTAAATTCAACCAAAAGTTGTAATCATACAAAACCTTGCAAATTAAATTTGGTCTTGTTTGACCACAAGTTTTGGTTAAATTTAGCAGAAATTTAAGCCAAACAATACTAATAGAACAACCAATTTGGGGTAGTTTTTCCCCATTTCTTGGGTAAAATTAACTCAGACAATTTTTCAGTGCACAACCATGATTTCCTTTGGCAATCAAAAGGGAGAAATATGCTGAAAGCCCGTTTCATACTCGGCGCGAATGCGAATGCGAAGCGAATTTGACGTCAAGAAACGTTCGCTGCGAAATTCGCCCGAGTTGAAATGTGTTCAACTTTTACGAATTCGCAGCGCGAAGACTTGCCATGACGTCACCAATTCTTGTTCGCTTTCGCTTTCGCACAGAGTATGAACCGGGCTTTAGAAACGTCCATGGAAGTATATATTAACGTTTACTCCTTTGCCGCAATTCTGTTGCCAAATCAGAACAGACAATGGGCCTTATTCTAGAGGAAGCCATTTTCGTCGTGTTCCCTGAATGTGCTTCATAAATTGTGAACTGTTGAATGGGACGGTGCCAGACTATTTATTCATTCTAACCTCACTTTCATTTTTTTTTATGCGGCTTTAAACATTACAGTATGTTTAATCATAAATTTTCATTTTTTCATCAGAGCAGACTGGTATTAATTTGTAACGTCATTGCTTTCATTTCTCTACACAAGTTCCAAAAATGAAGATTTTACCTCACATTCAATTCAATATGGCCGACTCGTGAATATGGCCCATTTAGTCAGTTCAGGCCCATCATGAACCAAGCTTTAATAACGACGCAGATCGTGCACATTATTAACGAAAAAAAATCTCTGATTATTTTGATGCCAACGTAAAGGAAGCATCCCCGATCATTATAGGTTTACCAAGACTGATTGGGTCTATAATATGCGGTGAAGGGAAACTAATCACTCCGTCCAATTTATGCGGGATACTCACTTGGAACCGCTTCCGAGGCTTTCCACGTAGCAGTAAAGACAGCATAATGAGATCATCCAATACTAGTTTTAGTCATTCAAAAAATCACAAAATCGTCTTTGACGAAAACACTCAGCTTGGAAGCGTCAAGTCATGTACCTGGTTTAGTCTTAAGCATGTATACGCCGATGGTGAAGGGCGAAGAGTTTTCAACGCTGGGGGAGGGGTGGGGCTGGGGTAGGCATTACCTTGTTCTGATTCCCATTCCCAAGGATTTACGCATTTGGCGGTTTCTGGTGTAACGACCTTACTCAGGAGTACAGCGCGTCCAAAATACCAGCAATCTTTTTGAGAGGCTCTAGCGTAGGCGCGGAAACACGTACCGCCATTATTTTTATATCATTTTAAAGCTCAGAATCTTAACTTTATTCCTGGTAAGTATTGATTTGATTTTTAAAAGGGTTTTTAAAATGATTTGTGTTTAAATAAAGGCATGTCAAAAACAAACGCAACCGATTTCAAGGAAAATATATCGTGCATTTTTTTCTAATGTGGAAATGGTTCACCATGTTCATGATGTGACGACCTCGTTGCCTTTTACTTCTGTGTTTCCCATTCTTTTCGATCTACGTAGACTAAACCTTAAATGAATTCCCAATAGTGCTCTTCGTTTCAAGATCAAGTTTGAAATTCACGTGCAAGTATGTACCTATTCAAAAAGCGCGCTCAAAGTGTGACTAAATGAGTTTGCATCTTATGTACCAGCGCATCATCGATTTTCCTTGAAATTGGTTGGGTTTGTTTTCGACGTGCCTTTATTTGAACACGAATAGTTTTAAAACTCTTTTAAATATCAAACCAATAGTCGCCAGGGATAAAGTTCGGATTCCAAGCTTTAAAATTGTATAACAATAATGGCGGTATGTGTTTCCATGCAGACGCTGGAGCCTCGCAAAAAAGTTGCATGTATTTTGGGACGCGCTGTAGTACGGCAGATAGGTGATGGGATTGTGCCTTTGATGATACAAGAATGGCATATGGCACACAGTCAGAGTATGTCTTAAGAAAGACAAGCAGTGGCAGCCATTTTGAAAATTTAAAAAAAAATGCTTGTTATTCTACCTTTATTTTTTCAAAGGTCAAATCTGCAATGGCCCTATATAGCCAAATATCTTGCTTAAGACATACTCTGAGTGTGTTCCAAATGCCATGTTTGTATCATCAAAGGCACAATTTCCCCAAATATTTCCCCTATCTGCCCCATTATACCTGTGATATCTTTCTTCCTTCCTATTCTAAACAAACTAGTTTTGGTACCATTTTGGCAGGTGTCTATTCTTCGGAAACAATCAAAATCCTCCGGGATCTAAACCTTGGCATACATCATTGCTTGTAGCTCAGACCGCTAACCTTTTTCTTAGGGTCGGCCTACAAATAAAAATCATTGGATTATTTGTACATTGTGTATACTGTAGGGTAAAACACCTGTTTGTCTATTTACGTATATTCTCATAGATGGGGAATGAAAACATACGAACTGAAACTGAATTAGATTTAAAGTATTATCAAAGCTAAATTAGCTGGAAATTCAGCCGTTGCGAAATGAAAGTTTGGATTGTCAATTTTTTTAAATACCATTCGTAACAATCACAGTGCATTGACCTAGAAGAGTCCACTAGGATTCTATGTATCATAGGAATAAAAACCCATGTTAGGTACTGTCAGAATGAGTTTAATTCCATGTGGCAACTTATTAATTGCAACATGATAAGCGCAAGCATATTACAATAAAGGTCAATAAACAGACACCGACTATACAAAGACGTTTAAATAAATACACGTGTCACAGATATTAATACATACATAAATTATGTACTGTACAGGTGGGAAGTCAGTGTGCGTAGTCAAGGGTGATGTTGGGCTAGCTAACGACGTACATTGGCTCTAGAAAACATCGATTTTTTTTTATCTGTTGACAGGGGCTTTGCAACGACACAAATCCGATCAATGGCCTTGCATTGGTGGCTTTGGGCTTTGGAATATTTCGAATCGTTTAATCAAAGATTGCATAATTTGTAATGCCAATTTAAAGCTCAACTTAACTACACTCAACCAAAAAAGAAGGTCCCCTCTTAATACTTTTTTGTCTAACTCAAAAACAACCGTGCACATCTTGCTTAAATAACGACTGATCAGTATAGACATTCCTAAGCAATCCAGCCATACTCTTTGTTTGGCCCAAAACAATGATAATGTGTACAAAATAATGCAAATTAATAACAAATGGTACCAAAACAAATTGCACTTTTGTATACGTGTAAGGTGAGTGTGAACCACAACTTGCACGTATACAAAAGTGCAACTGTTTTTGGTATCATTTGTCATAAATTGCATAAATTCATACACATTATCACTGTTTTGGGCCAAATAAAGAGTATGGCTGGATAGCTAAGGAGTTTCTGTACTGATTAGTCTTTGAGCGAGAGGTGCTCAGTAGATTTTGAGTTCAAGACAAACAAATATTGGAAGGGGGACTTTCTTTTTTTGGTTGAGTGTATGCACTGGACGAAGGTATGGTTCTAATTTTGAGTGTGACGGCCACTGACGTATACGATCCACTATAATCGACGTCATGGGGTCGTAAAGTCAGGAAACCAGACTATCAAACCTGCTACAGTAATCACTTTGTAAACATGTTTAGATGCTAAACATTATGTGTCAAATTACCAAACATTAATGTCGAAAGTTAAACACTCTCCATCCTTACTTTAAACTTGTTTTGTATAGATAGCAAGAAAGTGTAAAAAACGTGTTTAGTTGCTAAACACAGGTTTTGCAGTGTGCCGTTAATCCAACCAACCTACAAAGTTCATCAAATATCACGCAGACAAAGCTCTTTGTCGGTTATAAACATGTCACTGTTCTATTCCCTTAAAGGTTCATATTTTTGGTAGAAAATTAAATTTGAAAAGTCTAGCTGATAGAGGTAAACTCGTATCGTGTTAGCAGCACCATAGATGGGGAACCCTTTGATCTGTAATATTGGCTTAAATTTAATCCGATCAACTTGTTTACTCCGTCCTTGTTGTAAGATGGTGCCAAGCTCTGGCCTTACGTACGCTTTCATGTTTACAATCATCTATCATAGTATTTAATCACTGTTATAGACATGTACTGTCGGACGGACATCATTACCGCCCTAGTCATCGCTTATGACCAACAGGGAACTCGAAGGGAGCACTTGACCATTCAGGCAAGGCCATGATGATTGGACATTGAGTAGGATATGCATTAATCACGCAGCAAGGAAAACGCATTAAGTGCGCGGAGTAAATTGGGACCCATCGCTCAAAATCTGCGCCGATTGCGAGTGTTGGTGTTTGCGTATGGTGGAGGCTCTCTAGGTAAGCATATTTGATGGAACTGCTGGGCACAGAATTTTGTCAAGCACAGAAAATATTTGCTTAGCAAATATAGGTCATCAACTAAATGTCATGCGATTTATATTGCGTGTGACTGGTTTCCAGCTGATTTCGCTTGGCCAAAAATAAATAAATAAACAAATGGGGCAATATTTTCTGCTCGGCAATTATATTGAATTGGACCTAGGGCACTGTTTTTAAGCAGTAAATAATTATCACAAAAAGAGTCAAACGCTATACAGGGTGAGTAAAACAATAAAGGAAACCCAAATGGCAGGCCAATTTTCTTAATAAAGTTCTGCATGTGTCACTTTCAAAATCTAGGATGTAAAAGCCAAGCTTTCTTTAAGTACAAGAATCTTGTAAATCACTCATGTACTTTTCAGAATACGGAATATTAAACACAACCACCGTTTTAAAGTTCTGTCCACGGATCACAAAACAGGTGTGTGTTCTTTCAGCAAAACGAAAACAATTCACACACATTCCTATGTGAATTGTTTTCGTTTTGTGTGAATTGTTTTCGTTTTGCTGAAAGAACACCATACATGTTGTAATATATGATTTTTGAACATCTTCAAATGTCATCCATTGTCAAACACCTCCCTCATACTGTTTGAATAAAATGAGCCTATCCGAGACACGGAGGGTATATGTACTATTTGGCTTGGGCAATGACGTCAACTCTTTTGTAATTTTCAAAATTTTACCTAAATCGATAAGCACCCTCCTATAGAGTATCCGCCATATCTCAAAAAGGGTAATAGGTCAAGTTCCCAGTTTAACACTATTGACCTAGTCCAATAGACCTTTTCTTTTGTATGAAAACATTGAGCACCATTTTGTATGGCCTGTCGCATTGGCGAAAATTTAAATCGGCATGGTTGACAACAGATTTGGCCAAAAGTTCATTGTATGTATTAAAGATGTGAGATATTAATAATGTTTGGAAATAATAAAAGCTATTCTTCTTTTTTTTTTGAACGTTGACCTTCCACACTATAGTAACAACCTGTGGTTTGCAAAAAAGTGTCAACCACGGGTTGGCAAAGAAAGGTCAACATGTCATTTTTTTTTAAACCAGTGAGGGCGCTACAAAGACGCCATTTTGGAGGTAAAAACAATATGAATCCAGGGTTATTTGTGTCAGTAAAAATGTTGCTATATAATTAAAACAAAAATACATGTTAACAATTTTTAATCTTCAGGCTCTTCAAACTGCGAAATGTATCATAATAAAATGCGATATTCCTACTAAATTGGACTCGTTAGGGCGCTCCTATTCGCTCAAAATATGGCCCATTGCTCTGCTCACCTGAAATGAAGAATTACCGGACGAGGTTGTACATTCCGGGTTACTTCCCTCCAGAAGACTGTTCAGGTCCGCATAGTCCCTCAACGCGTCTTTCCTGATCGGGTTCAGGTTACACCAAGTCACAGCCGGAAACTGCACCTTTTTCGGAGTCCGCACCTCGATATTCACGTTGATCGGATAACTGTAGTACCTGCATTTTTGTTGGGGAGGAGAAGGGTTGAAATTTGTTAGAGCTAATGCGAGCTATTTGTGAAATCCTGCAACTTCAGCTTGAAAGCCTAGATATGGGGCTTCTTTGGCGGATCCAGGATGCTCCACAGAGGGGTGGCTGGGGTGTTGAAGTTCAACTTATTCAGAGGGGGGGGGGGTTAAGGCGATGTAGTCCAAAAACCAAAGACCTGAAGCAATAAACCAAGATTTGCACTACTGAATGTTGATCTTATTTGGAGAACCATGCAGAGAAAAATGTAGAATTTGTTTCATTATGTAAATAATTAACATGGGTTAGTCAGATAGAGATTGGAGGTGGTTCAGCCACCCCAACCTCCCCTTGGACCCGCTCTCTGGCTTGTGAAGATACTGTCCTCATACACTGTCCACAATATGAGACACACACGATTTATACAATGCCAAAATAGATGTGATTGCAAATAGTCACACTTGACTCTCATTCTCAACTGACCCTATGACTGATTGAAATTCAACATCACAAATAAAGATATTTTCAGTCAGGGTTTTTGACTGGGAAATGTGCTGTCAGTAGAAAATAAGTCGTCACGCGTTTTCCACGGCGATTTCCATAATTCTCAAGAACAAGAGAGACCAGTCTACATTTAAAATATAAAAACTGTGTTGTTTCCAGAGCAGGAGAAAGGGCAAGAACAATAACGCGGGAAAAAATCTTCAAAGCTATAACTCAACTCATGCACCGCTTACGAAGAAGTCTTTAAAACTGTCCTCAATGCAGAGCTGAGGTCTCAGTCCTTTCATTTAGGAAGTTTGTGGTTCTGACATCATTGAATACATTTCATCAATAACAATATCAAGGAGTGGAGTACAGAAGCGTAGAAAATTCCACGTTTCCACGATAGCTCATCACGGAATTACACGCTTTCACGATAGCCTATCACCGAATTCTATGTTTCTGAAATAGGCTATAACGATATTCCACGTTTCCGTGATAAGCTATCACAGTATTCCTCATTTCCACGATAGCCTATCACGGAATTCCACATTTCTGTGAAAGGCTATCACAGTATTCCACGTTTCCACGATAGCCTTTCCGGGAATATCTTGAAAACATGGTTTCAAGATATTTCATCTCAGTAACGCAGTAACGCGGATGGTCATTATACTCTAGAGCTTCCGTATAGTAGAGCCATGTGATTAACATTCGAAGGATTTTACCCGATAGATACTAACATTCCATGATGTGGCGGCGCATTTACATGGCGATAAGTGTTTGTAGGTATGAAAATGCACGTGTTCATCAGTGGAGTATAAATGCATGACAAGTATGATTGCCAGCATCAATCAATTAGTACAATCAATACAGGTGCATGATTTGTCTATTTTTTTTTCCAATACAAACAAGACGGTATACAAACAAAAGCATAACATTAACTGTTAAAAGAAATGAGCAGGTACCATTCGATTTAATTGCATGCCTGGCTTACAAAAGCAAAATGTGTTTCAGAAAACAACAAAACCAAAGCGTCATAACAAGAGTAGGCAAGCTGCACAGATTTATACCCGCAAAAAAGATTGGATTTCCTTTTCAATGGCATGGTGAATTTAACTGATTTGTTGCGTTTGATTGGTGATGTGTGATATGGTTGGCGGCTGTCTGAGTATGTGCGCATCTAATCACTGTAGCCTCTCTCACCGCATGAAATAGTCTATTATAATTATGCAGCAGTCTATATTTTTTACAATTCAATGAGCTAGCACACTCAGTTTATCCGTTAATGGCGTTTTGCATTTGCTAAGACTTAGTGCGACACCATTTTTAGTTTGATATTTTTCTTTACATTATTGAGGTACAAGTTGTCTGGTTGCCGATTCTTAATTTTTTTTTGGAAATCTGTAAAGACGTCGCAAGTCAGATGTATGGTGAGGGGTATGGGGATGGGGTCTACCCCCCCCCCCCCGACGTACGTAAAAAGTTAAGAAGATCATGCAAAAAAAGCAGCACATGCTTGCTACCCCCCCCCCTTCCGATAACCCCCGGCCCAAACTGGATCCTCCCCTGGTACACTCTCATACTTCAAAAACAACCAAATACTTTGTCTTGTCTTTTATTAAATTTACTCGATGAAAATATATTTTATGTAACCTCAGGTTTTACTTAATGTTTTTTTTAAATGCAGGTTTGAAAACAAATACATCCTTTATAATAAATAATGGAACGGAGTGGGTGGGGTCAAGGGCGGATTCCACGGGGGGGGGGGGGGGCAACGGGGACCTGCCCCCCCCCCCCATCCCCTCCCCCCAAAAAGAACCCAATTATTGTTTTAAGTGACGTCGCAATAAAGGCAGGCACTGCGTATACACCACCATCTTTTCCCCCAAAAAAGTTGGTCAAAGTGGTCAGAAATTGCCTCAGATCGCACCACAGAGCAACTAGAATCCAGGAGAAAAAAAATCGAGGTCCTTAACGCCACGCCGTAATTTTTTGAGGGGACCAACATTTGTGTGCCCCCCCCCCCAAAAAAATTGTGCTCTGGATCCGCCCTTGCTCCCAAAAAAGTGAAAATCACTCCAAAAAGAGGGAAATGTCCATTTTTTCGAGGAGCTATATAAAATAAGACTTGTCCCTTATAATAGCTCCTCGAAAAAGTGGAAATTTCACTCTTTTTGTTAGTGATTTCCACTGTGTTTGGAGTGATGTTCACTCTTTTTGAGTGATTTCCATTCTTTTAGGAGTGATTTCCACTCCTTTGGGGTGTTTATATAAGGGATTCACTCTTTTGGAGGGTGACTTTTTCACTCTTTTACATTTATAGAGAACGGAAATGGGTGGGCTGTGATGTGATGGAATGAGCAACAACACTCACACCGTGGCCAACAACGGTCACGCTTTAAACGGTCAAGCACCAACGGCAACCCTTCCTGAAAAATACTCAGCATCCAAGCCGCAATCCAGCCTTCCCGAGACGCCGAGGACTAGACTCTCATAACCCCGGCACTCTGCTCTGAGACAACACTTCTTCACAGAAGAAATGGATTTTCACACGCTGTCACTCGCAAACCTCACTTTCATTCTTGTAATAAATCCCCTGGGAAATTCCTTCAGCTAAACCAGGGGCTTATATGCTTCGCCGTTTCTATGCTACCTTGAAAATAAGCCTCTGTTGGAACCACCTTGGGTTTAGTTTTCTTCGACAGGTTTCTTACATAATTAAATATAATGCCTATATTGGCAAACAATCTTTCAATCAATATTTTTGAAGTTCTTCGGGCCGTATGGAATGTGACAATAATCCTATAGAAAAGTCCATAACAAAAATCTTTCCATATTTTTCATCTAGGATTCCCAGGAGAATTTAGTGTGGAAATTAAAAGTGTTATTAGATCGGCCAAAGATTCATTTCAGTGTATTATAATAAAATACTGTTTTAACATTATTCGTTTAACAGGTTTTTACCCTTCGCGTATAGCTCAAGAAACCAGCATTTTTAAAAGACCAAAATAGTAGTCCAAACTGACCGAATGAGTGTTTTTCATATTATATAATATGTTTATATTTGTGTTCAGAAGTTAAACATATATGTGTTCGGTAATTATTTATAAACGCGTCAAAACGTTTATAAAGTGTTACAGATATGCGTTTATATTTGTGTTTAGAAGTTATACACACGGTTTTACAGTGTACTAAACAATTTAATTCAAGATAAAACAAGTTGGTTTGCATATACCATGGAGCTATGCATATACATACTTGATTACCAGCACAGTTCCCTGGTAGATGAACATCCCGAAGCCGGCCAGGAATAGCACTGTCCAGACGAGCCGTCTACAGGTGGAGTTAGCCCGTTGGATGTTGGGTATCCCATGGGCTCCAGACTCGGCGAGTCGGTGGCTGACTACGTACAGCAGGCCGGTCTGCTCCGCGTCCGGGGCCTGGGGTTGGTCCGGGCCGGTTGCTCGGCCGTCGTCAATCGAGAGCTCCTCCGCAGTCATCGGGCTGACCTTCCGCTTAGACAGACCTCCTCGTACTGGGGGACACGTACCACTCTCTGAATGATACATGCGGTATGAGCCTGACGCTAAGTACCCTTAATTAAAAACACACTGTAATTGTATCGCAGGTTATTACGTAAACACGACAAAAATCCGACTACGCGGTGTTTACCGATAGCAGAGCTGCTTAGGCCTAATCATTTTGCCTGAGAAAATGTCAATACGGCTATTGGATCATAATTTAAGTGTGGTGGTTGGTCTCCAATACAACGCTGGCGCACCCACTGATTTTTCACTACATATATATCCGTCAGATATTGGGGGTATTTCAACACATATTTTGCTTGCTGGTCAAATAAAAAATACAAAAGCTTAGCAGAGTCAGTTTGTTATGGGTGTACATGCACTGAACTGCGTGCAACATGCAGTCAACATGCGTTTAAGAACGTGCCCTTGTTCAATACGCTCGGTGTGTGATAAGGGGGAGGGTACCACTGATCACCGTGTAGGCTACTATGTCTGGATAGCCCATTAGCTGTTAACAGTGGCGTCACCAGACTTTTCAGTCTGGGGGGGGGGGGGGAGGCACAGGGGGGGAACCAGCATTTGAGGGGGGGGGGTGGGGGCACTTAGGTGGATACGGATCGCCGTCCTGGGGGAGGGGTCTAAGGGGAGGGGGTGCCCCCCTCCCCTTTGGAAAATTTTCGCATACGGAGGATGGGCTAGATGCAAAATGGTGCCACATTTGATGCTAAATTCGATCTCAAGATATCTCAAGAAATTGCTATTTTTGAGGTAATGATTTTAACAACGCGCAGAATTTTGCAGAGGATAGGGGGGCACCAGCATTTGATGGGGGGGGGGCACTCGGGGGGCACTAGGTTTTCCAGGGGGGCACGTACCCCCCCCTGCCCCCCCCCCCCCCCCCCCCCCCCTTGGCGACGCCACTGGCTGTTAACAATCTAATTTAAAGGGAATGTACAACATGAGTATATGTCATAGCAAATATTGTTGTATTGACTTGTTCCACTTTTTGGGCTTATAATAGATGCTGGAAAAACCCAATGAGAAAACTAATCATGTTCTGGCAGTCTGGTTCCCCGACCCCATTACTTAAAGATGAAACGGAGGAATGTATAGACTTTGGGGAAATGTAAGGTCAGAGAATCAGTCTATAGCGGGCTTGTAATCATTTACAGGTGTGTAATCAATTGCAAGGAAAATGCGGAATAACTAAATACGAAAAATGAGGAGCACTTTTTTTCTCCACGTCAGTTTTCTCCAAAATACAAGTTTTCATGAAAATGTAAGCACACCAGGAGCTACAATTTTACAGAATGCTTTAGACTGTCATTCCCTTACAATCCAGTAAGGTATTTCGTGATAATTTGATTATTTCGTTTTTTTTATGTTTGGAAATGTTGTATCTTCCCTTTAATTTCCATGTTTACCTATGTGACTGAATATATTTATTTCCTTTTTTATTATTAGAAAACACTGAATTCATATCACCAAAGCATTTTAGACCAATTATGTTTTACTGGAGATTGTTTGATATAGTTAATCTCTAGATTATTTTATTATACGATTTGAGTGCTATAGGCCTGTAGTGGTTCAGCATGGCGGTGTACAGCATACCAATGAAGGGATTGTGAAACAGCGTGTATAACTTCAACGAGTACGGAATGGCTATAATGAGTTATGCAAAAAAAATTACACGGAGATCAGTGGGGTTACCGATCGACCGAGTGCCAGTCTCTTTTTTGTGATTGACAAGTTTTCAAGGGTAATATGTAACTTATTGTTTTAGCGTAAGCTCTAGCGTCGCCGCGTAAACACATACTGCCATTATTTTTATATCATTTTAAAGCGCAGAGTCTTAACTTTACGATCCACGTACAAGTGCACCTTCAATAAAATCTATTAAGCAGTATTACTTCTTGCTTTAATAAAAAAAAAAGACAACTATGGCCCTTTTAAGACCAGGTAAAAAATAAATCAGTTCCTCGTTCCCACCGGCGCTTACATTTTTTTTCGCGCCTACCTATTTTCCCCCTTTTTTAATCATTGAGTAACATTTGACGCAACCACTGTTGCGTAGCGTTTTACCGCGCCAACCACCTTGTTCCCTTTTTACCACCACAAAGAGTACAATTTTACGCAACATTGGGTACTTTTTTCTAAAAGTGTGGGTTTCTATCAAAATTTGTAGCTATGTGTGCAAATTCAAAATCTAGTAGAAAGGGTGACGGTTCCTTGGGACACAAAAGTATCAGCAAATGGGTTGAGAAAATAAAAGAATTTTTCCTGGAAAATCCGCTATTTTGGAAAAAGGCATATTCCTCTCTTTTTAAAAAGCCCGGACGATCAACTATTTTTTTGTTTACTTGGCCTTTGGGATGTATTGAGGTGCGTCAATCTCCGTCAGTTTTCAGGTCATGAATTGAAAAAAAAAATCGGAGCAAATTTGGATTGATAAGTGCATCCACTCATTTTAGGCCCATACCGCTGGGCTAAAAGGGAGAAACGGACAGTTATATGGTTTGACCAGTATAATAGGCCTAAGTGCTTTTAAGTTGGTTCACGGGCGGATGTCAGGCCACTGAGCGCGCGGTCCAGGTCAGAGACTGTTCAAATAAGGTGTGTGTGGGTTTGAGTTGGTAGTACGAGAGGTTGAAGTGGTGTGCTGTTTTGGAGTTGCCTTGGAAATGCCTTTTTAAGTGGCTGGTAGCGCGAGTGACAATGAAATCCCTTCACCTCATCAAAATCTCTTGCTTTATTGCCTCCGCTACAGCGCCCTCTGGTTTTATATGCACTCATATAGGTTTTCCCGGCCAATTTCCTTAAACGTTCATTCACTTCTGACTCAATTCGGTCATTCATTTTCGTCTGAATTTGAGAATCGCTCTGAACACGCGTTTCATTTTCGCTACCAGAGCATTCGATTTCATTTCATTTCAATCAATTATTACGAGACTGAGCAGCACCTTTCATTTATGCTCATTCAGATTCATTTACAAGACTTCTTTTTCGCTTTAAGAGGGCGATTTCAAACATTGGTCATTCTATTTCACTTTTAGTTAAATGTTATGTGATGCAATCTGCTATTTTGAATGACAACAATGTAGGCCATACTTTTGATTGCACATTCACGAAATTGTATTCCAGAAATCTGCGCGAAAAGGTGTGCTTGCGTAAATTAATGCACAGGTAACGGAAATGGCAGTCTGTTTCTTCCAAAACCGACTGCACGGACAATAAAAAACGATTGAACTTTCGTTGAATTGAAATAGGATTAAAAACATGCATTCATATTCAGAAGAAAAGTGAAAGACTGATTTTTAGAAGTGAACGAACATTTCAGAAAATTGGCCGGGAAAACCTGTAATAATGGGCACCACTGTCTTTTCTAATCAACACATTCTCTGGTATTGAGTGGCACGTAATACGACACTATTTTCCCTTTGAATTTTTGAAGAGATAAACTATAGAGTTGCAGGCCACTAAAAGGCCCAAAATTGATTAGGCCTACGCCGGCCCAATCACTATTTGCATGCCCTGAAATTATCCGCCTTTAGAGCATTTGTGGGCCATGAACTTGAGAGTTTGTTTAAAAAAAAAAGGCTGTATGGAAGCCGTGAACAGGACTGCGAGCTAGCATTTCTGTGAAAATTGGATGAAATTAGGCCTAAAATTAATTGCATTCTCGAGTCGACCCCAATGCGTGCAGTGTAGGTCGATACCAATCACCGACTTAAATAATCTGCCCTTGTATGGGACTTGCAACCACGACAGTCTGACTGGGTATAAGAATCAGGAGAATACAGATATGCAAGGTACACCTTAAAGCTTACAGGTTTTATTCACGTGCATTTACTGCACAAAAAGGAACTATCAGGCATGGGCGTCGCGAGGGGGGGTGGGGGGGGCAAGGGGGCGCGCTTCCCCGGAACGAACAAACAAACAAACAAAAGGAGAAAAAAAGGGGGAAAAGGAAAGAAAAAGAGCCGCGAAACCATATGGTTGTTAATTTAATGGAGTTGGGGGGGGGGGGCAAATGTCCCTGCCCACCCTAAAAAAAATATTCATTTGGGAAAATGCTGGAAAATATGGGGATTTCGAGAAAAAATTGCTTTGCCCCCCTCTAGAAAAAAATCCTGGCGACGCCCATGGCAGGATTGATATCATAGCCAGGCAATGTTTCCATGGTGATGCAGTCTTCACCTCGGTGCGTTGTTTGGTTGCATCCAGATCGATGCAGTAAATTATCAACTTGCTCACCACATGCAGTTGAGCCGACTCCACAAACCTATAAGGACATCAAGACAGAGCCTAGAACCATTCCAATCGGCAATTTGAACAATCTTTGATTGACTCAAGAATGGCTTACAAGACACTGCAGCTTTACCTGGCGGTTTTGTTGCTTGCTAGACATGTCAGCACATACAGCTGTCCAAAAGGCTGGATTCTACATGATCAGTTTTGCTATAAGTTCATCTCTGAGCCAACACTCAGCTGGTTCGATGCAAACAAATTCTGCCAAGAGTCGCTGAGCACACTGGCCGTGCCACAATCAGCAGAGGAAAACAACTTCCTCGCCAGCCTGATTACTGAGATTCCCGGTAAATATGAAAGTATTTATATTGGTATTCTCCTCGACATCGGTGTCACACTTCATGAAGTGCAGCAAGCGGATGGCAGTCAGTACCAAAACTGGAACCCCAATAGCAACTTCGTTGTCCGAAACATCACCATCTCGGTGCCAACGAGGTGCGCAAAAATGCCTGTATCGGGTCTGTGGGGCGTGTCTAAATGTTCTCAGTTGCGACGCTTCGCCTGCAAACGTGACAAGGTAAGATGTCCTCAAGCTGCGCACTGTTTTGTGCCATTCAAACACCAAAACCAACCTTCATGCCTTCTGAATCACACTTACGAAGAATGGAAGTACGGGAGTCCCATGCAATGCTGTTTGGCCTGTTCCACTGATCCCGAGTGTCGCTCCTTCAACTTGATGGGAGACGTGTGCCAACTCAACAACGCCTCTGCCTTAGACATTTCTGACAGTGAGAGGTATTTGGCCGGAGTGGATGGATGTATGTACTATGAATTTGAATAAGAACAAAGTAAGCTAGAATTAATTGAGAACTGCAATGAACGTTAGCACAAGTTGTTGACATGATAAAATTAATCTAAACATGCGTAGAAATATTTGTCAATAGTTTTGGACACGAACTACAGTGCTGAAGGTAGCAAGTACGTGTGTTTTGTCTTTGGAGGTTTTAAAATGACTTGTGTGTTTTTGTCACATAGGCTATATCTTGTGAAAAGTGACATGATTATGAGTTGCAATTACTCTATTTTACACAAAATATACTATCCAATGTTTATCGTTTCTATAGGAATAAAAAGCTTCTTAGGTAGCCTTGTGT